GTAGTTTCAATTTGTTGTTGTCTTGTTTTTGCGTTTGAGGTAATACTCGTGGCCTGATACCACTAGCATTTGTTTGTCTTTCGAAGATAAAGTAAAATGGAATGACGCTTCAAACGTTATATCTGATCTGATAGGGTAGTATAAAAATGGTTAAAGAAATAGGCAGTATGATTTTTATAAAACTCACAACCGTCTTTGGTTGCCTTCAACTAGCACCATGTAGGTTATCTCTGTTTTAAACGCGTGAGTGAGGGGTTAATTCTCTAACTAATCGAAATGCAATTATTTTTAAGATGCTAGAGGCATCAATTGAATTAGGACTAACTTTTCAGGCCTCAAGTAGTAGACTTAATTGGACTACTCCTGTACTTTTAAAAAGGACCTAATTTGAAACAAATTATCGTCATTAAAAGGGGGTTAAATTGTTGTGGGGTTATCATGTTACGTGGTTATAATATAGGGGGTGTAAACATAGGGGGTTAAATATCGTGGGGTTAAACAGTGGGACACCAATATTTCACAACCAATCATTACAGTTTAAACTGGCATGAACTATTTATTGCTTATTTTCTGCGTCAATTGTTTTGTTGTCTGCTAAGAGACGCCATTTTCACTTTTTATGCTAAAAGATTGGCCTGTCAAAATATGCAACAAAGCAAACAAGCAAGATAAAATCCGTTTAGGTAGCTTTTTTGCCACGGAACCCAATAAAAAGGCACAAAACTAAAACAAAATTCTCGAATCTTGTAACTTTTCGCGGATTGGTTTTTGTTTTCTTTCATTTCTAAGGTAAGCTCCTTTCCTTTGTTAAATGGAAGGCAAACTCCACTGGCCGATTAGCTAAAGTGTGAAGGTCAAGTAAGTTATTGATCCAATTTCCTCAAATTGGGTTAGTTTTATCGAAAAGTCAACCATAAGTTGTTCTTGAAATTCTAAAAGCTTGAATGCCATATATTTTACTACTGCCATTCGAAAGTTTTTTTTTCTACAAAAAAATAAGCCAGTTTTTTTTCTGTTTCCCTGCGTTAATCGACTCTTTTCCAACTCTCTGTTGGTTATATTTTATTGTTTTATAAAGCCCGTTTTTGAGCAATTCCCTCCTCTGACCTTAGCAGTGACTAAGCAAATAACATAATTCAACGATTTTTTTGAACTAATTTTCTTCTTTTTTATAGTGTTATTTTTTGAAATTTTTGTATGTAAGTTTTTTGAACATTCAAGCTTAACTTTTTCATTCATTTTGTTCTTTGTTTTTTTTAGCAAGCAATCGAATGTTCCATTTGATACATCCGGTTTTTTTGATGGATATGCTTTTTGTTTGCATCAAAAATTTTCGGATTACGATTTTTGGACGGAACCACTTTTTAGTAACTGTAGTAACTGTAGTCAATTAAAGATATGTAGGCGAAAGTAACTATATTCAATTAAAGATATTACGCATTTAAGAGAAAATACCAGTCCCTTATCTAAATTGTTGCAAAGCAGTGATAAACTATCGATTGTATAATCATTTGAAGTGTTTGTTCGAAAAAGAACTCGAAAAGAACTTGAAAATCACACTCGAAAGAGTGGCAAGGAGCAATGTCGTCGGTTCGATTTTTACCAACCAATTTTGACTGGCTCAAAGAAAGTTCGCATAGAACCAAAGTATGAACGCTCCTCGTTTCAACTGGGAATGGTTTTTACCTGAAAAATGAACGATCCATAAACAGGTTTCGCAGCCATGCTAAATTCTGTAAATTAAGCGGATTTGCCATCTCATTCAGAGAAAAAAAAACAGTGAAGGTTTTCGTTTTCGTATATCAAAAATATTGGTTAAGTATGGTGCACAACCATTGTTTTGAGTTCTTTCCAACTAGTTTTTTTTCCATTATTTAAGCACATTTGAATGTTGCTAGCAAGCTTTCTGTAGCATCTGGAAGTATCATCTCGTTGATTGTACATCTGAAAGTCATCTCTCGTTCTGGCATGTCTGCAGAGTTGTCCACATCACCATAAAAAGAAAATTCGCGTCACCGATAATACTGGCCTCAAATAGTTTTTTGAAATTGAAATTGTCGTTTGTAGCTCATCTTCGGTTATTCTGTCACCATCTCACATATCAAACTTATTGCTGATTGTTCGAGCGAATCTCGTTGATGGTACAGTCCAGTTCCGTAGAAAACTAGCAGAAATCTTCAATGTGGATTTTTTCTCACAATTGCAAGTTATCTCTCGTCCTGGCCTCTCTTGAGAGTAATCCACATCGCGTATCAAATAATACTGGTGTCAATTAATTTTTTGAATCGAAAATTGCCGTTTGTAGATCATTGTCGGTTTTTTGTCACCATCTAGCATCTCAAAGATATTGCACAATATTCGAGGTTAATTTTAAATAAATGTTGAATGTGTGTTGTTAGTTCGTCCGAAGTGTCACTGTGTTCATGAAAACGGGGATTGCAAATTGTTTTATTCAAGAATTAACTGTTTTTTAGACGTTTAGTAATAAAACTAATAAAAAACTAGCTATGGATGTTTATTTTAGATAAATTTTTAGTTATAGTTGCCGCCCGATGAGTTTATTCGTTTTTGATTGTGTTGAATATGTGAGTCGACATATTTTCTCAGATCCGCATCCTTTATGTAAAAGTGAAAACAAAAATATGAAAAATTTCAAATAATTATATTTTGGAATTTTTTTTACTAGTTCGTGTCACGAAAATTTGCGTAGGAGTTTTTTAATTTGACTGCTCTTTTATTAAAATTTTAGATTACCCTTGCGATAGCAAGGGTATTGCAACCGGGTAATAGACTTTTTTCCCGTAAACAACTTGTGGAGATATTTGCTACCGTGATATTATTGGAATTCTAATTTTGTATTGTATCTTGCACCTTCAGTCTGCTTATGTTTTGTCGGCTTAGTTGCCACTGCTGAGAATCGTTTATTTTAGCTGTAAACAATTTTTGCTGCACTTTTTTTAGCATTTTAAAAATGCGGCTGAATCGAAATTTTGGTTTTCAATTTTTTGTATTTTTACTAGCTCGCTTTGTCATTACGTCTGAAAAAGTTTTTGTACGCGTGTGTGTGCTCTGAGGGGAAATTCGACTTTCTTTAATTCTGTTCGACGTGAAGGGTTTCTGCTCATGTTTTTTCGCCTTTGTTACTGCTTGGAAACTAAAAAATCCAAATCCAATCAACCATCTGGCTTATCCGGCATACCGGTAAAACAACTGCTTGAGACGTCAATGATTTGCGGTTCGAATCCGCAAGCTATAAATTCAAATCCAATCAACCATCCGGCGCATCTGGCATAGATGTAAATCAACTGCTTGAGACGGTAAAGATTTGCGGTTCAAATGATGCTAGCAGGCTTTTTGTAGCATCTGGAAGTATGATCTCGTTGATTGTCCAGTTATCTCTCGTCCTGCCATGTCTTCAGAGTTATCCACATCACCAGAAAAGAAAATTCGCGTCATCGATAATATTGGCGTGAACAAGTTTTTTGAATCGAAAGTTGCCGTTGGTAGATCATGGTCGTTTTTTTTGTCACGATCTAGCATATCAAAGATGTTGCACAATATTCGAGCTGAATTTTAAATGAATATCGAACGTGTGTTGTAAGTTCGTCCGACCTGCCATGTTATTATTGAATTTGGGGATTGCAAATTGTTTTTTTGAGGATTTTACTGTTTTTTAGTCGTTTAGGAATAAAACTATAAAAAAAAACTATTTATGAATGTAGGTTGGACTTCTAGGTTTTTTCACTTTTTGCTTTTTTCTCATTTTTTGGAGGCAAATGTGGATCATGCCCATCATGCTATCATACTAACTTTTTACGCGATCGTTTAGTTTTCGAATCACACCACCCACAAAAAAGGACATACATTTAAAGAATTTTTCTTTCTTTCTATGAAAATGGTCGGAACATTCAGCGCTACCTGCACAACAACCGGCTATCCTTGTTTCATTTTGAAGTTTTGTGGCTTGATTGGTTTTGGGTTATATTTTATCACCTTGTTTACTGTCGGCATAGTTGCCGCTCGATAAATTTTTCGTTAGTTGCCGCTCGATAAGTTTATTCGTTATTGATGGTCATTATTTCAAATAGTTTTAAATAATCGTTATATTTGAAATAATCGTTATATTTGAAATAATCTTTATATATTGGAAACTTTTTTTTTGGTCCGTTTCACCAAAAATTGCGTCGTAGTTTTTCACTTTGACTGCTAGTTTTTAATTTTTTAATTACCCTTGCGATTACCCTGGGTTCGAATCTTACCTGGAACCGTTTTTTTAAACAGTTAGTGTTCCGGTTCATAAAAGCTTCGGTCTTTTTTGTCTGCTTATGTTTTGTCGGCTTAGTTGCCACGGCTGAGAATCGTTTGTTTTAGCTGTAAACAATTTTTACTGCAATTATTTTAAGCATTTTAAAAATCCGGCTGAATCGAAATTTGCTTTCAATTTGTATTTTTACCAGCTCGCTTTGTTAAAATTTCTTTTTATTTTTCTTTGTTTCGTTTTTTATCGGCTTATTAAGTTTCGGCTTAATTAATATCGACTTAGTGGCCTTTTTTTGCTTCGTTACGTTTGAAAGAGTTTTTGTGCGCGGTATTGCAAAAACCGATAATGTTAAGCATTCTTCTTTGCTTTCAGCATTTGTAAATAGGAACTCATGAACACCCATTGTCTCACATGCTCAGGAGTTAGCGAACGTATTATTAGTTAGTATGGTAAATAGTAGCATTGAAGTTTCAAAAACGGATTTTTTTTCTGTTTTTACGCAAGGCGCTTTCAATCTTGTATTAGGTGGTTGCTGCTATCAGTCTCTTAAATATTATTCGAGAATCTGTTTCGTCTACTGCTCAGCTTTGAAACGGCTCAGAACAAATTTGTAGACTCGGTCAACAGTTCTTAACTAACGACATTCGCAAGTAATGATTTTTTTAATTCAAAATTATGTGTCTATTTAATTTTGAATATGTTGGAACTTTTGAGTAAGTATAATGAACTTTTGAGGTACCATGAAATGGTACGAATAGGACCGAGGATGTCACCAGATTACTATTTTACTCCAATGAGTTTCAGTCGACTGATTTTAGTCAATTGCCTCCACGATAGCTCCTTTTAAACAAACCCTGACATCTTAGGAAGAGGACTAATTGAAATGAACTTAAAACCGGAATCGTCTCATGCAAATGACTCAACGAACGACAATTTAAGCAACCATGAAGGCGACATACGATCAGAGTCGGTATGCAAAGTGTGCGGAGATGTGGCGACTGGCAAACACTACAGTGTTTTGTCTTGTGAAGGATGCAAGGGATTCTTCAAGCGCACAATCCAAATGAAACTGGCTTACAATTGCAGACAGAATTCTCCGACATTGGACAAACCAACGTTAGTTGTTGTAAATGGAGTCACAAGGTGTGTAATAGACCACTCTACTCGGAACAGTTGTCGCAAATGTAGATTCGATGCGTGTATATCCACTGGAATGAACCCAGGCCTAATTAGGAACGACAATTACGTGTCGAGAGCTAAAAAGCGAAGAATGACGAGGTTAATTTCAAGTCATGCTTCCCGATCTTATGCTTCGAAGCATTCAACCAGACAAGCATCAACTAATGAAACCGCAACTGTACCTGAAAACATGTATTTTCTAACCGCAGAAGACGACCAGTTAATTGAGCATTTGACCCACATCGAAGCGGACAAGATCCCGCCAGGTACGCCAGAGGGTCCAGTGGATGATCAGCTTCTCGGAACTACGGAGCAAGGACTGGCTTTCATGTTTCAGGCGGTCTACGGGGAGCTACGGGATATCGTGAAGTGGGCAGGTAATGTGCCTGGGTTCACAGATATCCCAACTAATGACAAAATGGCGCTGATAAAAAATTGCTTCCCAGAAATTATAATATTTAGACTGGCATGGAGATCGCTGCCGTATGAAAACCAATTCAGACTCACTGATTCGAAATTTGTGAGTAAAGAAGAGACCATTGAACTCGGCATAGATAGAGATCTAGTAGCGCGAAACTTGTTTTTCATCCAAAATACCAGAGAAGTATCGCTGAGCAAGGTAGAATTTTGTTTAATTCAGGCGATTCTGTTGACTTTTGCCAGGTGTCCAAATATTGACCCCAGTAGCCAAAATACAGCCTCGCTTATCCAAAGCAGAGTAATGCAGTGCTTGAAACGGTATGTTAAGTCAAAATTCCCAAACGATGGTCCTAGATTTTGCAAATTGGTGCAGTTATTATCGTCTATCAAATCAGTCAGTTTGAAAGCATTGGACGCTTGCTCGTCATTCGAGGCTGCGGGAGGCATCAATGTTAATTTTTTTAGCTCCATAACAGGTCATATTAGTACTTAATAAAACAAACTGCCAAATTTATTGATATTATACGCTTTTGTAAATTATTATCCCTTCTCATAGAACAGAAAACTTTAAATTAATTTTTCTTCTACAACTTCAATAAACATTATGTGATTAGGGTAATTTCTAGATATGCGAGGAATTTTCGTTCAGGAGGACTGTGATAATATCAAAATAAAAGAGAACTGGCGGTTAATATTTGTTTCAGAATTGGGATTTGTACTTTTTAAATTTTAGTTAGAGTATTGATCGTCTGAAAAACAGTCGGTTGATCTTCACTGATTTTAGCTTCAAAAATAGTTCGAATTTGAACTTAAATTCCAACGGTCATTTCAAAGAAAGCATTTAAATAGTTTGAAATTGTTTGATCCTAAATATTAAGCATTTATTTTGAATTATCTTTCTATTCTCGTTAAAACTGGATTCTGAGGATGATGTTCGTGATTGTTTGGAGACAGCTCAATCGTCGGGTTCCGTGAGTACAAAAATAGCAGACGAAAAGGCGATCCTACTAGAAAAAGAGGTTAGGAACTTGAAAAATCACGGGTGATCGACAAATTCAAATCAAATTTTTTTTTTAAAAAATCAAAATAATATGGAACAGAGCCCAAGAGCGATACTCACGCAAGGGCTTATCATTACAGCTAACCCAACCTTTGCTAACCCAACCTTAATTAGAAGGAATGAAGTCGTGCCACATTCTTCCTGGGGAGTACAAGGACTTTTTGCCAAGTATCATCAGCATGTTTGTGTACTTTGATGATAACTCAATAATATGGAACAGCAGGCGAATTTTGCGCAAAAAGTTTAACCCAGTAAAAAAAAGGGATTAACTTAAACGACCCGCTGCCCAAAGCAGAAGCAGAAATGAAAGCAGCTGCAAAGCAGATGGGTCTCGAGACCGTCACGAATAACTGTGTGGCTTCGTTTTCGATGAGGACGGGAGAAATGGCAAAAATATGTCAAAATAAACAGTGTAGATGAACTGAAAAAGCTTGAGAATAGTGCTTTGAATAGAAAATATGTTCAAGTTGCGAGACAGGATGCAACTGGGCAAAAAATGTCTCCGCCATTTAAAAGACAACGCTGCCCAAAAACAATCTGCTCCTTTACAACAATGAGGAACTGAAACCTTAAACTTTGAGTTACTTATATTGAATTGTGCAAAACTCACTGAGTTTAACTTTTGAAGTATTTTTAATTGAACTTGTATATTAGAGCGAAAAGGGAATTTTCTCATTGGTTTCTTTTTCTTTTTGGGTAGTCTATATTATTTTTCTTTTTTCTAAGTTTATGAAGTTCCTCGATACTTTTTTTTTTGCTAAATTGAGAGTGAGCTAATTTTTTTTCGAATCGGTGCTCGATGAACTTATCGCAAGGTGTTTTGTCGGCCCTGCTTGTAATTACGCAAGCAGCTCTGACTGGTGTGTGCTTACGCAACCCATAAGTCAGTCCAGGCGTCCTTCAAAACAATTTTTGGTTCAAAACCAATCATAAAAAAAGTATGTTTTGATCAAATCTTCTTTCTCTCTGTCTAATAATTTAGTTTTACTCATCAAATTTCTTTGTAAATCAACGGAGAAACTGCAAAGAAAGTAATTCTTACACAAAAGGTACAAAACGAAAAATCACAAGTCAAAGAGAGCGTAATATTGAAAATTCATTTAAGTTTAAAACTGCTCAGGCACAAGTAGGAAAAATTACAGGCCGTTCCTCGAAGTTATCTATCAGAAAGTACCAGCAAAAACTCTTAAGGGGCCTTAAAGTATGTATTCGAGCAAACAATTTTTACTACAAAACATGAGATCTCTTCCGAAAACCTTCAAGAGTTTGAAATTTTGGTTGCTCAACTGAATCCAAAGCCAGTAGTGATATGTATAACAGAAATATCGTTGAAGGAAATTTAATTAACCAATTTATTTCAATTGCTGGGGTATCAATCTTTAACTGGCTGCTCGAGAAGAAAAAGAGGTGGTAGATTAGGTATATATGTCAGCGAAAGTATTAATTTTGAGGTACTCAAAAAATTAAAAAACAATTTTCAAGTTCTGAGAATTTCGAATTGTGACAGAAAATTGTACTACCATAATTTCGTAAGTTTATATACCATCCAACGCAGTTAACTCGCGAACATCAGACAAGCTTCATAAATTTTTAGATAGTCTTATGATTGACCCCCAGGCATAACCTGGAGTATATGGCGATTTCAACTTGAATACGTTGAACGAAAACAAGAGGAGAAATGAACTCATAGGGAATACTAGATACTTCTGAATTAAAACTTGCCAACAGCAAGCAAGTAAAAAGAGGAAGTAGTAAAAACAAATCGTGTATCGATCTCTGTTTCTGCAATCAAACATGTCAAACCAAATCACTTCGAACATCAGTAAGCGATCATTACACTGTAACACTTGATCTAACCTTTAATACAGAATCAGAGACTCATTGAAAAATATATCACTATACCCTGGTATAAACGGCAATCTCATGAAGTGGTAGATCTCAGGGCCAGTCTTAGACCTGACATCGACAAATTTAAGGATCTTATCTCTTTAATAGACCGTATTGAAGCTTTTTCAAGACTGCATGAAGTTTTGATAGCAAAATTTGATTCGATTGTTTCCAAAAAATGTATCTCCAAAAAGCGACAAAAAGTTTGGATTGATGAAATTAGAAAAGTGGTCACGAAAAAACATCGATTACTAAACCAGGTTAAAAGGCTCGGTACATCAGAATCGCGCATTGAATATCGAACCTAATCAAGTTTTGTGAAAAAATTAATAGCTGAGAAAAGGAAAGAGTTCTATCAAGAAAAATTGTGAAGGTTGAAGGAAATATTTGCAATAAAGAATTTTTCAGAATGTACAAAGATTTAACAGGCTCAGAAAAGAAAACATTTGACGGAAGACGTTGATATCAACAAGTTTAAAGATGTTTTTCTAATATAGGAAAAAACGTTGCTGCAAAACTTTTCCGGCTAGGCGAAAGAACTTAGCGCACTCAATCAAATATTTTTATTTGAAACCAATAAACGAACACAAAAGAAATAGAAAAAGTGTTTGAAAACTTGAAACTGAAATATAACCTTGACACAAACGACTTGAACTATTTTTTCTGAAAAAACTTCAGCCTGTACTTTGTAAGTTGACAGCGTTTTTTCACAAATGTTTTTCTTAAAATATTTTTTCAAATTTATTTAGCCTAAAAATTTGCTGAAGTAATTCTCATACACAAAGACTGTAACAATAAAGATCCTGCTAATTTTAGACTAATTTTTCAGTTATCTGTTTTCGGCAAATTTTTTGAAGCTCATTTTTTGAAGCTCAAAGTAATGCGTTCAATCAAAATTAGTTTGGATTTAGATCAAAACGTGGCACTAAAGAAGCTTTTTTATCTCTGATTGAGGAAATTAGATTTCTTTGGAATGATCAAACCATCTTACTCCAATGCACGTTCATAGACCTGAAAAATATGTTGACACTGTCGACTATAGTATTCAGCTGGATAAATGCCATTCATTTGGACTTAGGGGGACTAATTTTCATTTATTGAAATCGTATTTAGCTAACTGAAAACAATGTGTACATCTCGAGACAAAATAAAAAGTTGAAGAAATTGAATTTATTGTCGCACGGATCAATAGGGGTCCCACTTTTATTCATCTTAAATATAAATGATATAGAAAAAAGCAACAGTCCTCAACAAGTTAGTAATGATACGCGAATGATACAGTCATGAAAACAACCTCTCCATTAAAACGTCTAAAAGTAGATATCAACAAGTCCCAAGCGAAACTAATGTTTGGTTAGCCAGAAATAAGTTAACACTTCACACAGAAAAACCAAAACTATGCTTTCCGGCAAAAAATTAGCTGTTAAACATTCTACAGTATCATTAATTATTGGCAAAAAAAAAGAAACTGAAAAGTTTTAAATATCGTGGTGTTACTTTAGATGAAAATTTAACGTTCTAAGACCACAAAAATTCGTTAGAAAAAAACTAAGCCAGGGTTGTGGGCTTTTTTACAGACTGAGAAAAATTTCAACAAAAAATCAGCTTCTTCTGGCCAATCAAACTTTTCTTCAGCTAACTTCCCAATATGTAGTCCTCGCTTACGCATTAACTGATAGAACGGAATTGGAACACCTAGAAATGCTTTTGAAACGTCCTATAAAAACATATCTTACAAAAAACTTCGAATCAATTAAATTTATAACCCAACAATATAAAAAAATTTTTTGGAAGAACTATATACCTATGAACTCCTGAAATTTTACAAAAAGTAATAACTAAAGAAATGCAAGAAAAAACTTCAACTAAATGAAATATAGCGAAAGCTGTCGTAATACATTCAATTTTTTTTGCATCAAAGCAGCCGATTGCCAGAACGCGAGTACTCTTCAACAGCTCTTTTCGTTTCCTTATTTTACAGAAATGATTAACAACGTCAACCATCAACTATATTCAAGCTAACAGTGATCTGATTAGTAAGCTGTTTTGTAGTTCAAGTATAATGAATCTGTATTTGCCTCCTTCACTGTTCTTCGACAACACTTTTTGAAAGTTATTATAAGGACTATTCTGGTAAACCCGCAATTTCTATCAAACGGTAAAACTTTTACCCCTTTTTTTCTTTTTTGATCAAATTGGGTTCTCATCCCAAGGTCTTCTTTTCCCCTAACTTCAAGGTTAGCAGAAATTTTTTTTTTTTGGTTCTCGCTCTGAAAACCTGCTTAATTTAGTCTTACATTGCTCTCCCTCAAGTAATGAAAAAATTCTTCATTTGTAATTCTGTACGTATGATAACTTCACTTGGAAACAATTGATTATTCTTATGTATTGTATTTAGGTACTAGACTTTTCCGAATTGAAAAGTTGTTAACAGGATTTTTTCCGAATTGAAAAGTTGTGAATTCCACAGTTAACTTAATTAGCTCATGAATTATTGAGTAATAATTTTGCCCCTTTGGTATCAAAGACATTTATATAGGTCCAGTTGTTTTCAAATTCAATTCAATTTCATTTCTGAAAGAAGACTGGATTGCGCTCTCCAATTACGGTTGCGAAAAGGGCACGAAAAAACTTGAACGACTTCTAGTTTTGGAAGTGGATTCTAACAATCAAAGTTCTCTGCTGAAAAAAGTTAATCTGTTGATACAGTTTCCACAAAGTATCCTCAAATTATCACAAAAGCGAAGTCACCTTATTTTGCGTACTTTGGTGGGAAAAATATGCTTTGAAGGGGAATTGTTTCAATGTTCTTACGTGTTACAAGAGGAATTGGCCGTATTTTTTTTGTATATTGCATTTCGAGCTTCTCTAGAAAACGCAGTCACAATGATTGCACATCATGACAATTTTTTGACTTCATTAGATAGTCTAATTAGCAAACCGAGTGCTATTTGGCTTTGAAACTTTTTTAACCACAATGATGGCTCTGATATTAAGATTCGATGAACGCAGTTTTTTAACCACAATGATGGCTCTGATATTAAGATTCGAAGAACGCTGGACTATTATACAGGCGAGATGATTTTCAATTTTTTTGTTGATTTTTTTTTCAGGAAAAGTAAAGATTTGTTCAGGCTCAATTTTTTTCGCAGTTCAGTTCCTTTCCTTTATTGAAAGGAAGGCAAACGCCACTATCGAACAGCGAAAGTGTAAAAGTCGAAAATTGTCATGAGGTTTGCGAAGTTATCCCAATCAGCTTTGAGATTTATCAACGGGAATTTTTTTGGGGGTGGGGGGGGGGCGAGTTGAGTGGGAGGCTTAAAGTCGATTAAGATGAAGATGGGTTGGTTGTCTGAGCTTAGAGTAAGTGGTGTCCAATGGCAGCATAGGGTGATAGTCTGGGATGCGAGAAAGGTGTCAGGGGACGAGATTTGTTGTGAGGTGTGAGAGCAGGTTTGTTCTTCCGAGTTGAAGGGGATGTAATTGGAGCTGGTGATTTCGTCCGATATCAGTAGTCCTCTATCGCCTTCGGGACTTATGGAATTCCAGAGGGGACTGTGAGCGTTGGCGTCACCGAGTACTCGTCCTTCGGAGTCTAGTAAGTGGTTTATAGATCCTTGCTATTTTTGGGGGAACGAGGTTTGCAATTGTATGTAAAAGTTAGTGAGGGAATATTTTCCATCTTGGTGATGATGTTTATTGTCTGGGAATCCAATGGGAGCTGGGAATGCGAGTTTGTAGTTTCGTAAGAGATATCTTCTCTATTGCAAAATGGAGTCTTCTTATTTGCTTTTCTCGGTCATTGCAGATAATATTATAGTTGCCGAGAGAGGGAGTGTTGCGGTTGTAATTGAGCTCGGTTTCTTGCAGAATAGCTATGTGGATCTTGTTTGTTGCTACTTAGAGGGCAAGCTCAGATGCCTTACCACCGATGACGTTGCAGTTCGATTGCAATAAGCGAAGACTGTTAGGAGTCAAGGGAGATGATAGAGTTAAGTGGGCGGTATGTCGGGGGTGTTTCTAGTAAGGGTATTACTTGCGGTGCGTGGGTGTTAAGTGTAAAGCTTCGGGTTAGTTTGGTGGTCTTTTGGTTTGGGGTTCTGGTTGATGTGGAGTGTCTCAGAATGGGGGAAGGATATGATGTACAGGTGTGTGTTAGGATGGTGGTCTTAGTATGAGTGGCTGATTTAGTAGGTGATGAGTCGTTGAGTGTTGTTGGGTGTAGAGTGAAAGGTGCGTAGGCATCTTTGGGTAGTCGTCTGTAGTAGTAACAGTTTGGGCAGTAGACTAGAAGTGTCTGTGGTGTTGGTTAGTTGAGTTAAAGGTGCTGCTTTTCAAATGGATTCAGCCGCAGCAGTGACACCATACCCTGTAGTGAGAGCTGCGGATCATGTTTCGCATTTGTAATCACTGGCGCCTGGGTTTGATTCTATTCCGGTGGTTAGAAGTAGTCGTGAGATGAGTCTTGAAGACGGCTCTGAACATATTCTGACCAAAAACACTGGCTTTTCGGTTGCAGTGCCCCTCTTGAGGAGGGAGGTTGAATGAATTTGCAAAATTGTTTGTCCGTTCCACTTGGAAGCGTCTTCTTGGGAATCATTCTTCTCGCGTCATTTGACACTGCTTGCTACGGTATGTTAAACAAGTAAGATGACGGATCATATGTTCACAAGAATAGTCACGTAATGTAGCACAATGTTTTTGCGGTCATTGTAAGAGGCTGACGTTCTAAAGGCAGGTACTTGTGAGAAACAGTTAGTACCTCAGTTTGGACAACTGGTTGACATGACACTAGTAGCAACTTATGATGGTACTGACGACAGGGTACTTAAGATTCTTCAATCCTCATCCGGGTCTTATTTTCTAGGATTCAAGTCTTTTCGACAGTTTTTTTTTCGTTAACCGTGAGTCGAGGGCTACCTAAAGTATTAGAGACCTGCTAGTAATATTGCAGGTAACCGTTAATGCGTCATAAACGGATCGAGTGATTTTTTATATTTAACCTCTTTAAATCTCGATAAGAGATTCTTTAAAAAAATCCCTGTCACGAGAAAAAAGATAGGAATTTTTAAGGCTAAATATTGTTTATCAACAGACTGCTAATCAATGTTCTTTTAAGCACGTACAGAGAATCAAATGCGTTTTTTTTACTATTATTCACAAGCTTGTTCATTGTCCCATCCCCACAATGACAAAATAGCAAATAAAAAATTTTAAAATTTTTGAGCAATTCGTTTTTCTTGCTTTATTTTGGTTTGAATTGCATTTACTCCTGAACAAAAATGAAAGCGAAGTGATATGAAATTTATTATTAGTCATTCGTAATTATAATCAAAATGCCATAATTACATTTCAGTTGGGTTGTAAGTCAATTATGAGAACAGACCCGAATCGAGGAGGGTCGTGGATCCTGTAATCATACATGCATTGTCGCTAAGCATGAAAGATACTACTCTTGAAACGTCTTCAACATTCCCGATTCGACATTGGGGGTTTTGATTCTGAAAGGCCTTGATGTATTGTGCTGAGTGAGGCGCATTCCGCAACATGCCCGTCCAAACAAAGCCCGGACACACGCAAACGGATCGAATGCCATGGGGCTCAAGTTCAATTACTAGACACTGGGTCAACATGTTTAGAGCCGCTTTCGAGCAGCAATAGGTAGCAGACTGAGTCAAAGCTTTTCTTGAGGCTACGCTGGACATGTTTATGATGACTCCTTTGTTCTCGTTCTTGATCATGTTTCTAGCTGCCAGTTGTGCGAAGTGGAATTGAGCGTTGAAATTGATGTTCATGACAGATTCAAGACTCTCTTTGGTGATTTCCAGTATTTTCTTGGGCTGTACCACCCCCGCGTTGTTGACTAAAAAGTGGATCGGAGGTATCGTTTTGAACCACTCCTCGCTTTTGTCCCAGTCGGAAATATCGAGAGACTTGGTTGTGATTTTGGACCCACTGTCACCGCTGCCATAGAGAGAGACCAGCTCGTCCAAATCGGATTGTGTGCGACTGACCGCGATTACATTGCACCCCTGGGCCGCTAATTCCCGAACACAATCTTTCCCTATTCCCTTCCCAGCTCCTGTGACTAAGGCCGTCTTTCCTTTTAGTTCAGGGTAAATCGCCGAAGTCTTGGGAATGTCCCAATTTGCTTCAGGTTCCATAAGTAGCGAGGTTTCTGTGAGCTTCGGGGTGCTCAATGCTGTAAAGGTACAGTGATAGATAACTCTTGATTAAGCCCGGCCAATCGAACTTACTTAATTAAGATGCAAATTTAGTTTGACTTCTATACGTTCAATAAACTCTGACCACAGCTTCCTGCGTTGGGTTGCGTGTTGTTGTTTCTCACATTAGTTTTAGTTTTGAACTTGCTGTTAGAAAACCAACAAAGGAGATGTTTTGAACCCCTGATGAAATCCAAATTAACTTGGAGGCTGGTAAGTTAAGAAACAATGTGGAAGTATACATGCTTTGATCTAGCAAACATTCCAAGTTCACAATGAACTTCGGACCAACTTTAACTGGTTCTATCTGAGGCAGTCTATTTTTTGTAGTCTCATTTCCTGACTGATTGTTTGCTTGCTGCTAATAAATTGTCAAGTTTTTTAGGTTTATTTACAGATAATGAACGTTGTTTGCAAAATACTTTTGCAACGTTGAATAATGATTGACAATTGGTTCACCGAGAAATTTGATATGATTTGAACTTCATTAAACAATTATTATAGAGAAAATGCCAAGTAACTTTCAAAAAAAAAGAATATAGAAACCATTGTAATACTCTGCAATTAACTGTCATGTAACGTGTATTGTCGTGTCATGTAATGTAACATGTATTATTAGAATCACTATTTGACTTTTTCCTGAAAACAACTTGTTTGACAGAACACTTTTAGTCAGCTGCAGCATGAAATATATTGCCTAATTTGCATACACATAGGATAGAATTTTTGGTCAACTCTTAATCGAAGGTTTTTTTCTGGTTATTTAAGCAATTTTCACTAGTTTTTAAAATCTTTTTGAAATCCATAGTGCATAATCAGGTTCATGAATTATTGTTCCGAACATTTCACAAATATGGGGCAACTTGGTATTCGGGTGTTTTTTCTTTTTGTTTGTTTTTTGTTTTTTTTTGTTTTCCACGACGCAAAATCAGGTACCACAAATAATCATCAGATTGGGTCGACTGATATATCATATTAAAGCTATTTCAGTCGTGATTTGAACAATTTTTTGAGAAAACAGTATCGAGAAAAACCGGTTGGAAACTTTTGGTTTTTGGTCTAATTTCAAGCTGATAAGTGAGTGAGTGAGCGAGCAGGCTTAAAATAGCTTTTTTAAGCTTAGCTTAAGCCGTTTAAGATTAGTTTTACCCAAGTGAAGTTAGTTTTTGAGAGTTTTATACGCCATTTGGGGAATCAAAAAAATTCAGAAATTCAAACAAATTTCTCCCAAAATTTTGCAAAAATTGTTATAAATTCTTTTGTATTTTTCTACAATTATTTTTTTTTGTAATTCTTGTCATTTTTCCACAAAAACTGCTTTCCGATTCAGTTAATTTTCTATGAATTTCGAATATGCCTAAGTTTTATGTTTCGTTCAGATCTTGTCAATTCACGCAAAAAAAAAAACGATACCAATTTGAAAAAAAAAAAACTTTTTTGTATGTTTTTAAAGACCATGGTCGGAACATTCTGTGCTACTTGCACAGTAACCGGCTATCCTTGTTTCAAATATGGCATGGCTACTTTGTTAACACATTACACTCCACGAACATATGCCGGACTATAAATGCTGTAATGATCTCATTTGAAAACAATTTTTCTAAGTTTTTGAAAATTCATTGGAGTCAGTTCCCAAAGTTCCGAAATGATTCCAGAATCAGAAAGGGAAGTTTGTTATCTTCTCCAGCGAGTGGTTAAGGAACTTTTCAAATAATAAAACAAGAATAACCGGTAACTGTGCAAGTAGCGTAGAATGTTCCGACCATAGTCTTTAACAAATACAAAAGTTTTTTTTTCAAATTAGTGTTGTTTGCTCCTGCGCGGTTTCATAAAAAAGATCTGAACGAAAAAATAGAACTTATGCATGTTCGACTGTCTTAGTAAAATAGCCCAACTGGAAACAGTTTAGTGTAAAGCGAAAAAACGTGAAAAAATTCAACAAAATATTTTTGCAGAAACTTTTTGATTCCCAAATTGGCGCTTAAAACTCCAAAAACTAAATTCACTCAAGAAAATTAAGCTTTCACAGCGTAAATTCAGCATCAGTAAGCTTTTCTAGCCTGCTCTCCTACCTTATTGACTCGAAATTAGACTAAAAACCAAAAATTTCAAACCGGTTTTTCTCGACACCGGGAAATTTTTTTAAATTTTCTTATTGCCGTTCGAATCACGATTGAAAGAGCTTAAATATGATACATCACTCGACAATTTGGATGATTATTTGTGATACTTGATTTTGCGGGAAAAACATAGAAAAGAAAGGAAAAAACTAAAACACACCCGAATACAAACCTCCATGATTACGATCATGGAGGTAAAAATTTTTGAGTGTTCGCTTAAACTTTACAAAAAAAATAATTGAGAAAAAAGGTCGTAGCGACTGTTCTCTTTGGGATACCAAGCTGGTGTTTTTCTCAAAATTTTGTGTACGCAGCGTTAAACAAAGTTTCGAAATCCAAGGACGATTAATGGACAAAACTTACTAAATTTAAATTAAATTTTAGACGTTACATCAGATTTCCCAAGTGGAACTTTGCAAGCTATTTGAGTTTGTTTCTAAGAAGTAATTTGGCGCTACAGTTATGACGTGGAGTTTTGCATGTCGAACCACAAGACATTTCGTTCTTCTAATCACGCAGTCAGTCGTAAATTATGCATGTTAGAGAGAAAGTGAAAAAAAAAGTTCAGTTTCAGGCTACGAGAACGCTCCTCATTTCTTTAGATTAAACTTAAGTCGATTTTTTTTTGCAATCAAACTACGTTAAAAGGTGTTTCAGTTAGTTCATATTGACCTTCTGTTGATAGTTAAACATTTGAGGGTGTATGTCGACTTCCACGTAAATCGGCGTCAATACAGCTATGCAGTAAAAGCAGTCTAATTTTCCTCCCCTTACCACCTCAAGATAACACAGTCCTGAGTTTTATGGTCTAACCAGTGGCCCTGCAGATTTAAGGTTTGCACGGAGAACAGCCATGCTAGGATTTGCGAAATTACTCAACATATCAAATTTCATTCTTTTCCGCTCTTTTCCAATTGTCAGTTGGCTATGTTTGCCCTTACAATCAGCAGGGGTATAGCAATCGGGTACTAGACTTTTTTTCCCGTAAGTAACTTTTGCACTGGAATCATCTCCCGGGCTCGTTCATCTAATGGTTTGTTTTGTTGCAACATACATATTTTGAGCATGCTATCATTTTAAATATCCGGCCTAATCGAAAATTACTTTTTATGCTGGTTGTAATTTTAGCAACCCGATTTGATTAAGTTTCTAGTTTTTTTGTCTTTTTTCAGGTTAGTAAGTTTGCATTTTTTATCGACTCAGTGGCGCCTTATCGGAGTGTTTTTTGTGCGTGCGTGTAATCTGGGGGAAGGGGACTTATATTTTTTTAGACATGAAGGGCTTCTGCTCAGTCAGGTATTTTCGACTTTTTTACCGCTTGGTATTTATAAATTCAAATTCACTCAACCATCTGGCACAGGGAGAACTCGTAGCTGCTTGGTAGGGCAAAGTATTGAAGTTCGAATCCGAAAGTATTGAGGTTCGAATCCGTTTTTTTTGTAAAGTAGAGTTTTTGCTTGTCTGACTATTTTCCGTCTGTTTGTTTTTGTCGGCTTAGTTACCGTAATCCAACTTTTGTTTGAAGCTTCAGCTTTCTTCCAAGTTGTATTAACCACGTTAAAGATGGTTGAGACGTCAAAGCCCGAGAGGTCGATTCCAAAAAGGACTTTGTTCAAAATAATTGGCTTCTGGCATTCCTAAAGCTAATTGTTAGTTTTTTTTTAAATGGTGCAGATATCTTGCTTTCGGTTATTTTGTGCTTTTGTTGCAGTTTTTTTGAAACGCTTTTTGACAAAAACATTTTTTTGAAGTTATTTGAAAATTTTTCTTTTCATTTGATTAGAGTCATAGTCATTCATTTTTCTATCGCAAGTGGTGCGAAGCTCAGCTTCGCCTCTGTGTCAATGATTTTGTATCGATCCAGGGTAAATGATCCCAGCTACCCTCTATGAAAGTATCAATATCAGCCCTCCATGTATCGTTACTTTCGTCCAGAGAGGAGCACAGAGCTACAGGATAGGGAAAAACTATTAGCGGAAGATTTGATTTATATTCTATCTCCAAAAAAGTTTTCCTGTGGTTTGATCCATCAGTGTATAGGATGAAAGTTGTACAACGATGAATATTTAATGTATGGTTAGGCGTTCACTTGGAGTTTGTCAGATTGTGTAATCTATCTTCTGGCGTGGCAATGGTGGTGTGTGAGGATGAGCTATCACTTGGCTTAAAGTCTCAGGTCTACCACAGCCTGACCGATTTCGGCTGCGATAGCAGTGCTATGTGATAGTTCTAGACGCACACACAAATAAAATTGAGTTGCAAAAAGGGCTTCGCTCAACAAACTCACCCAGTCCGGAATGTGGAAAATTAATAGCAACCGGCGTTTGTTAACCCCCGGCTCTGTTCAATACAGGACCAACCGTGGGGGTAGGGAATGTCTTCTATTTTGCGTAGCTGGTCCCTTTTTGAATCGAAATCACCGACTATGCGTCATAGATCTTCTTCGAGTCGCTCAAACCAAAATTAAATAATTAAATGAGACTAATATTTTGACCATCAAAAAAGGTATGAAACTGTTAAATATTTGCACTGCTAAGGTAGTTTTGTGCTATGTTTGTCATTTAATTTGAATGCCCAGTAACCATCATCTATTATTTGAACGCAACGCCAAATGCTCTATGGACGCATTGTTTAAGTGAGTTTTATTAGGAACAAGAGTTAAGGAAAACCGTTAAGAAAATTCATTAAGCCAAATGCATGAATATTCAAGAAGTTTTTTTTTCAATTCGAAATCTGGATAAGTTATAACTTATGATTTGTTAAACTGATGGTTTTTTTATGATTTATTTTTTTTGAGAAGCGTTTTCAGCTTCGAGACTTGAATAACTAGCGTATAATTTTTTTGACCAGCTCTTTCCCATTCCAGCCAACTCAGCAAATTATAATTCCTTCATATTGAAAACCCGGTCTGTATATTTAGGCATGGGAGTAGTACATTAGAAACTGCCTCAAACCCATTCAAGTTTTTGGTTCTGTGAGGTCAAATGCATGAACCATCAAGTAATTTTGCACAATCAAGTAAAAATATTTAGTTGCAACAAAGGGCTAAAGAGACCGAGCGGTGTCCATTGATTTTCTAAAACATACTTATTGTTCAGTATAAGTGATGCGCTGGGAGGCTAAGAGGAGCACTAATAATTTTGAAAAAGATTGAAATGTTTCAAAGCTTCATCGATTGCTTGTATAAAGCATTGACGTTTTTAATCTTTTAGGACAACTGCAAATGATTTGAAAATAAATCTTGTATAGCATTTTTCGGACCCATCGTCAAGGTATCAAAATCAATTGAAGTGTTGGAAATTTTCGTAGCTTGAACAATTTACTTGAAAAAAAATAAAGTTATTGCGAAATATTTTTGAATCAAGTCAGCCCATTAAAACCCAGGGAAATGCTTCTTAGTTTCTTTGTAAGATTAATGAACGCAGTGAAGACTGTTATGTTGGTCTTGCTGATTTTTTTTCAGGAAAAAGTCGAAAAATATTGATGCCCTTAGGTATAAGGTACTTTTTGAGTTCAATTGAAATTCATCTGCTGAATGTGAGGTAAATAGCCCTCTCCAAAGATGAACGTGGAAATGGCGAGAAAAACGTGATCGATTTCTAGTTTCGAAAGTAGAATTTATTTTTAAGATTTCACAGCGGAATAAAAACTTTACCTATTGATCCAGTTTTTCTCAACTTGGGTTCGTATTTTCAAAAAAGCGCCAATCATAAATTGTTCTAGAAATTCTAAGCGCTTAAAGGGAATCCATTTTTTTCTTTGAAATTTGAAAGTTGAGATTTTTTCAAGAATGTCAGTGTTTTTTATGGTTACTTGCGTTCATTACTCTTTTCCAATCTTCGATTGGCTATGTTCAGATAGTTTACTTTGAATAACTTTTTTTGCGAAGAAAGCCGACTCTGTAAAACATTCAAATAATTTAAAGTTTTTTCGCCTGATATCTGGCTTTAGAAATTTTCAATTAGTCCAGTTTTCATCTCTTGAAGAAGCTGCGAAAACAGAAAATAAACGTGATGCAAGTCGTCGAAACGAGCTTTCCAAATAAAGGAAATGAATCGAAAACTTGAAAAGTTATTTTCAAAACTTACTTTTTTTGTGAAATTTATTTTGTTGCGGACCACTGCAAGTTCGGCAAACAACTTGGATTGTTCAATTACCCATTGCTGGAATGGTTTTCTTCAAAATTCAAATTTTTTGCTAACCAGTTCAAGTCGGCTTCTTGACTTTTTTCTCGTAAATAACTTTGTTCACTCGACTCCTGGCGGTACTTTGCTTTTCAATTTATTGCACACTTTACCGAAGATTCCTGAGACTGCAAAAGTCCTTGGTTCGAATCTGACCACGACCTCCTTTTTTTCAAATGGGAAATAACCTGTTTCAGATCAAATTGTCGGCCTTATATTGGTCTGTTTATGTTTTGTTGGCTTAGATGCCGTATCTATGAAACGTTTTTTTTTCGCTGTGAAAGATTTTCATTGTGTTTGCTTTTAGTGTCTTAGCATTTTATAAATCCGACCGAATTGGATTTAGTTTTTTTTTTCATTGGTTTCAATTTAGCCAACTCGGTTTGTTAAAATTTCTTATTTTTTCGTTTTTTTTTGCTTAATCAGTTTCGGCTTATTTTATGATCGATTCAGTGGCTTCCTACTGCATCGTTTGATGACCGAAAAAGTTTTTGAGTGCGCGTGTGCTCTGAGGGAAGGGGGACTTGTATTTTTTCTATTTGTTCAGAAGATATTGAATTTTTTCATCATGAAGGGTTTCTGCTCGGGTTTTTTCAGTTTTGTTGCCGCTTGTTAAGTTTTTGTTCCGCTGCTATATTTGTATTCTTGTTTCTGGCTGTTTTTTGAAATTGTTTGTCTCTAATTTTGATAGATCTAATTGTACGATGAAATATCGGTATTATTTTTTGCTTATCGTTTTTCGGCTTCATGGTTGTCGATTAGGCTCTCGGTTTAGTTCCCGAATGGGATATTCCACCTTGCATTTAGTACATATATGGCTTTCGTGGATACTATTTGGACAGTACATACCTTTTTTCTTGGTTGATTTTCAGCTGATTAGCTGTCGCCTTTATGTAGCCGGCCTTTTTACCTAATATTTTGTTTCCTACAAATTTCCGATATTGTTTATGGGACCAGTATGACTGGCCTCAATTTTTAATTTTTGAATGCTCAATTTTAACTCGTTTTGGAACTCCTCAAAAAGTCTGAATAAATTTAAACAATTTGATTTTTTTTGTATAGTTCTTCCTTTAAAGGTAACAACCTTCGAAGTCTTCTATGATAGTTCTTGAGTCTCTTGCTGTTTCAGTCCTATACTTGTTGTATCGCAAGTGGTGCGAAGCTCAGCTTCGCTTGTGTTAAAAGTCATTTTTTATTTTCAAGTTTTCATAGATCAAATTTTGGTTATTAGACGAATTGCCAAATCTGTTAAAATTGCATTAAGAATGCAACGGGGTATATGACTCATCGCTATTATAACTGGAAAACTTTCCGACCCGAGTTTATCCGAAAATCACAATCTGTTAGTATACCGAAAGGTATAAGTTTCAAACGGAGTCATTACCTTTTCAGATTTCGCATTGCATGGGTAAGAGCTTATGAGTACGATTGTGTGAAACACTTGTGAAAGGAATAAATCGTTCATTAGACCGATCGTTATGGCAGTGGAAAATGTGGAAGCTGAAGTGACAGAGGAGGAGGTGGCGCGCGAGCGAAAGGAGGCGGAGGATTTTCTGAGAGAGCTGGAGGTCAAGCTGAAGGCCAAGCAGGAGATGCGAGAGAAGAATCTCAATGCCTCAAGTAAGATTTTAGATATATTTTAGTTGGTTTTTATAATTTCAGCGTAAAAAGTAACTTAAAAAGTACAAATCATATGGCTACATTTTTGTCAAATTTTGTAAGAAGAAACGCTTAATCAAAAATTTTATCGAATTATAAAATCTGTATGTTTTGTGTTTTTGTAATAAGCCTTTAAATCAATTGTAGGAAAACGATATTTGGATATCTGTCTTGTATAAAAAAGAGCTCTAATGGCCTTCGGTAATTTGTTCGATTCTCTGAAAGAGCAGTTATTATTTTGTGCATAAAAATATTCGCCCGCAAAGATTCGCCCGATTTTGTTTTCTTATTACACAGTTAGCTGAAATCGTGGTGCTACTAGAAAAAAAGACCAAAACGCATTTTTTACAGAGTTTGTTGATTGTTTTCATATTTTACTGTGCTTTTCTTTAGAGAACTGGCCGGACGAGGAGTTCTTTGGTGAGTTGGACTCGGGGCTGAAGCGGAACAGTGCTTTTGTGAAGAGACTGAAGATGCTCCCACCGATGGAATCGACGACGACTGCAGAAGGAGGCGGGGGCAGGGAGGCGCTTTTGGGCGAGATGGGGCAGTTGAATCTTGTCAAGTATATTGACGAAGTGGCCACTGCACTTGCTGTGGATAGAAAGTTTAAAGTGAGTCCAAAACAGCTTTATGACACCGCTAATCTATCACAGAAAGTTCCGACCACATTAAAAACAAAAAAAAATAATTTGCCGTTTTTTGTGCATAGTTTGGTACGAGGAGAGCCAAGATTACGAAAGCTTAGAAAGCTTAGAACGGCTACAGTTGTGTTCAAAAAATCAAGGAAAAAATCATAAAAATATTTCTTAGTATCAAAAATTTATTTTCTTGAAGGAAAATTGCGTTTTTTACCGTTTAATTAACCAATTTACATTACGTTACTCGCTCAAATATAAAGCTCAAAGCAAGATTTTAAAACGGTTTTTCTTGGTCTGAAGAAATTTTCAAAATGTTGTCGTTCCAGTTACGACTTAAAAGGCTGCTATTAAGAGTGGATGAACACAGTTCAGGCTCTTATATAGATCGCGATTATTTTTTTTAGGAAAAATTGTAAAATTTGTTCAGGCACAAATGTTCTTTTTTGCTGTTTGACTTTTGATTTCTTTGAAGTTCAGTTCTTTTCCTTTGTTGAAAGGAAGGCAAACTCCACTAACGAACAGGAATAGTGTAAAGGTCACGAAAAACGTGATCGGCTTCTTGTTTTGAAAGAAAAAATAAATGTTCATTTTTTTTCTGGCGAAATAAAAATGTTACTTTCTGATCCAGTGTTCTCCTATAGGGTTAATTTTATCAACAAGGTGTCATTCCTAAATTGTTTAAAAATTCAAAGAGCTCCAAGGGCAACTTGGTTTTGAAATTCGAAATTTGATGTTTGTCATGAAACAAATCAGGGTTTTTTTTCTGTTTACTTGCGTTTATTGACTCTTTTCCAACTGTCTGTTGCCTATGTTTTGATATCTCTTCGAAATCACTCTAATAATGTTTTGTGATACCTGAGTGGGCCTGGAAAAAAATAAAAGAACTAAAATACATCCGAAGGTAAAGTTCATCCCACATTCAGTTGTCGCAACAATTAGCGCGATGTCAGACGCCTGCTCCAAGACGTGCTAAAAAACAAAAAATCTCTTCACCTAAAATAGTTTGGAGTTTTAGTCGTTCGCGTCGAGCAAAGGTTTTTTGCATTTTGAAATAGTTTTCTTATATACTTGTCATTGAAATATAATGCAAGACTGGACGACCGAAGTGTTTAAAGTGAGTTTTGCAAAAGCCCTCCGGGCCAAGTGCCGGAAAGGTTTGCTGTCAGCGTTGGCTTGTTTTGTCTGTTTTGGGCCGAAAGTAGGATTAGAAGAAAGGGAGCTTGGCTATTTTGCGTATCATTGTACGAAGTAGTTTGTCTGAAATGTGTTCTTGCTATCGTGAACTGTTTTTTAAATTGAGTTTGTTTAAATGGAATTGGGTACTTCCCTTTTACTGGCCTGGATCCGGTTAAGAAGGGTATCACTTTCCAGAACTTTCTGGCCACAGTGTGATAATCATAGGTCTGGAGGAATTGATACCATTTATTTTCTTTGTTTGTTACTGTCTGTTTTGAAAAAACGGTTTTGCTTGTTCATGGTCTATATGGATTGGTTGGAATGACGGTTAGATTCTCTTTTTGACTCGAGAGTAAAAGATTTCTCAGTTGGAGAAGTAGCGTGCTGACCTGAGGACAAGGTCGCGAAGAAATCTTTCATATGCGGTGATTGTAAAAGGTGCACTGCTTCGAGAGACGCCTGACTCAATCTCTTCATTAAAACTTTTCCAGTCAACTTTAAGAAAATTATTGTATGTCCGTTTAGGAGTAAAAAATGGCTGTTCATTCGGGTGTAGTGCAATAAGTGTGGGGAGGTGGTTTGAACCTAGGGAATTAAACGGGGACCAGGATGCTGGGAGTGAAAGTGATTGCGACGCCGGTGAACGTTCGGGAGAGGATTTTTGAGTTTCAGCGTTAAAAGGTGATTTTCATTATTTAGTGGCGCAAAAGTGGATTCGGTATTTTCATTAGTGAGAACCTACCCGTGTTGATCTTCTTCTATACTGGAGTGCCATAAGTTTAAGTGTCCGTTCACGCCCCCCTAGAACGAGGTCGTCGCCAGGTGCAAGTAGATCAGTGAAAGATGCGGAGTATCTGGGAAACAGCTGGATATGGGGATGCAAAAGTTAAATATGCGGAGTTCAGACGAACTGGCTACCACTGAGATACACAAAACATCCTTAGTTCTGTCACTAATGTTTAACTCTCCGTATTGTAGGGATTATGGATTGCAACTAGCAAGCCACCATCTTCTTCAACTGTCTTTACTGATAATAGTATCAAGGGGGCAAAGATAGGGATTTCGGCTTTGTTTTTTAAGCTTGATTTCTTGAAGGACAGCGATATGGATTTCGTTTTCCGCTAAAAAAGCAGCGATTTTGGGCGCTTTTGCGAATATTTCGTTACAATTTAATAGCGAATTTCATAGACAGCCTTGGGCTCGGCTTAGAAAGTTTTGGATGTAGGTTGAAACCTTTGAGAGATGGATTGTGTTTGTTGGTATAATTAACATTCAGGTGTGATTTGAGGGGCAGTCTGGGGGTAGGGAGTTTGGTTAGCCAAGTTCGACTTGTTAGGAGTTGTGGGATTAAGTGAAGGTGCTTTGGTTCTGGGAAGGTGGTAAATATAATTAACAGTGCACAAGGGACTGTAGAAACCTCGGCGGTGTTTGCATAGAAATTGAAGGCCACTGCATTTCAAATATATCCAACCACACATACTTGGAACCAAAAGCTGGTTTGTGTTCGCTTAATGGGAAAGTTATAAGAGGAATATTTATATAAACTTGAGTTGGGATTTATGCCAGAGCGGAGTAGTAGCATGAGGATGAGCAGACGGAGCAGCCTGCCCGGCTTCAGACGCTCTATAACCGAAAACCGGCTACTTCTGAGCTTTCCCCCGACCCGGGGAGGGTTAGCGCGACGCCATTTTCATCCTGGCGAACCAAGAGTCGGATTTACCTCGTGGAGGCGGCGTCGTTCGGATCCAAGACAACGGTAGTCGACCATCCCTAATTCACTTGCGTTCTAAGCTTTAGATCCTTTTATCACACTGCGAACAAAAGCACCACAAATTTGGACCAAATTTTTGTTCGTTAGATTTTTCAGCTACTCTTGTTGCTTGTTTAGATGACAGACATTGGCTTCATAGTGGAGGTTTGTTCTGCCATCCACCAGAGATACAACACGTTTCAGTCTAGCTTCACCTCCCTCCTCAAGAAACAGTTCGACTCCAAAGCAGCCAGCAAAGATGACAAGTCTGCATTTTCGTCCTCGTTGGCTTCTAAGTCTGCTGCTAGACTCAGAATCGACGCCAGGTAAGGGTGTTGATATCACTAGAATTCCTGCTAAATTTTAATATCATTAATGAAAATGACATGAAAACTTCCATTATTTTTTTTTGCACTCGTGCTTAACGAAAATGCTGCAGTGAAAGCTATTTTTGTAATTAAAATTGAGAATTGAATTGACATTGCTTGTGAAATTTGAAAGATTGTGTTAGATAGTAGTCGATTTAATCGCGAATGGTTGCTAGTATCAATATTACTTAAAGCATGATTTAGGTTCCTTGCCGAAATTACATCTGCGGGAATTCTGAGCGAGAAAGACGGACTGAATGTGCTGAGTTCTTTTCTAACGAACATTCTGTCGGCAGAGAACAGTCAAGCATCGACGGATGTGATTTCGTTCGCAATCTCTTTCGTGACTTTCTCGGGAGAGGACTTTGTGGGCATTGTGCCAAAACAGACGAAACGATACGAGGAGAAATTCAAAGACATGAAGTTCCCACTGTGCACTGTAAGTCTGCTTGTATATTTTCTACTCCCAGCCCCCAAATTATGAAAATGCGAAAAGCATAAAGAATTGAAGGAAAAAGACTCGGATATTTTTCCCCATATCGCAGGATCATCAATTTTATGGTTTAATAAGGGATTTACCAGATTAAGTATGAAGACTAAATATATTTGTCGTGGCTTAATGAGTCCACTTGTCAATTTTTGTGACAATCGGGCGATGTGAACAACGATTTTACATGTAAAAGTTCGGATGCTGGGGAAAATTTTCGTGGTCTATCAAAGTATCTTAGATTGGATTCACTTATCTTCACTTTCGAGAATAAAACGGTTTTTGGGTGCTAAGGTAGCTACCAATGATTCATAACAAGCTTAAAGACAATTTAAGGTATGTTTTACTAAATTGCCTCACATTTTTGCTTTCAGGTGTTCTCTGCCCAGACGCACCAGGTATTCCGAAAGATACTGGCCGAGTTCTACTGTCGTGTGAAGGCGGAGTTCGAGAGGAAGGAGCAGTCTGTGATCGACATCCTTAAGAGGAACTACAGCATTCTCTCGGTAAGAAACTCCATCTGGTAAAAGTATGATTGGTTGGTCCATAATGATTTTTTGGTCTGTAGAAAAGCCACTTTGGGTTATAAGAGATATGGTTCATCGATTTGTTTTGGAAATTTCAAAATAGCAACAAAACCAGTGCGAAATCTGTTTAAAAAAGTTTTGAGTCTCGTAAATAATTATTTAGGGCTCCATCTATATTTTACCGAGCCAACTTACATTTGTTTGCAAACAAAGCACACCAGATATTAAAGCATACGAGGACGTAATCATAAGGTTGATAAAGAAAATCCTAACATTGATATTTTTCAAGGAGTAAGTTTCTTTTAAGTCAATTTTTAAAATCTCGCTTTATTAAAGCAATGAGGTGCTCAGTTACGAGTTATGCGAGAGATATCATGTTAGCTACAAAACTGTCTAAAAACTTGCTTACCTGATTTTATGTGTGGGATTCTAACGAAATACTGTTCGGGCGAAGTAATCTAGGTAGAGACTTTGTCCATTTTAAAGACCTACACTGAATTTTGAAGTGAATAAATTTGTTGATAGTTTTGTCCAAAATTTTGAGTTCCGATCAGCCATGACGTCGATTTGCCGCTGCGTGTGTAATAGCGATGCAAGGTCAACTAAAAAGACCACTAGATGTATAACCTCGGATATGTTTGTTACTAGATTGAACGATAATTTTAATGCCATTAGCAGATTGTTGTTAATTTTTCATTTTGTTTTGTTGTGGTTAGAACAAGGGTGAGTTGCACAGTGAGAAGAGTGAGCAGTACGAGAGTGAGCTGGGAGTGCTGGAGAAACTGCAGCAGAGTATGAGTCAGCTGGCAGACACTCTCAACTGCAGTCCAGACCAAATACCCATTCTGCAAGTCAGACAAGTTGGTCAGTCGATCTTAATCTGGTACACATAGAGCCAATATTCGGCAAGTCTTTTTTTGTAAGAATGATAGAATTTTTTTATTTTTTCAAAAGGTTCTTCTCTATTCGAATCGATCTTTTCAAATAAAAGTTTTCCATCAAATATTGGCACTTTCTACAGTACTTTTTGAAAGTCGATAAACGTAGTTCAGACTCTTATATAGGTCGCGATGGTTTTATTTTTTTTCGTTTTTTTTTTGGTTTTTTCAGGAAATGTTTTAAAATTTCAGGCTCAAATATACTTATTTGCGGTTTGACTTTTGTTTTTTTTTAGTTCAGTTCTTTTCCTTTGTTAAAACTCCACTATTGAACAGCAAAAGTGGAAAGATCACAAAAATTGTGTTCAATTTCTCATTGCGAAAGTGGATTTTATTTTTTTTCAGATTTCTAAGCGGAGTAAAACTTTACCTATTGATCCAGTTTTCTCAAATTTGATTTTTTAAATCAAAAAAGTGTTATTCGTAAATTGTTCTTCATATTTAAAGAGCTTTAAGTGTATATATTTTTGGTGGTATATAAACCAGCTGAAGTATAAACCAGCCGAATAAATGATATGTAATAGTTATGTAACAGATACGAAATTTATTCAAAATCATGCATATGATGTAACTTTTCGGCTGGCTTATAAACTCCTCATATTTTCGGTTGGTTTATACTTTGGCTGGTTTATTTTCTGGCTTATTTTTCTTTGAAATTCTTAAGTTGAAGTTTTTTCACAAATAAGTAGTTTTTTTTTCTGTTTCCTTGTGTTTTTTTTTGACAGTTTCCGACTGTCTGCTGGCTCTGCTGAACAATTTCCATAAGTGTGTTTTTTTCTGTTTCCCTGAGCGTATATACACTTTTTCCAGTGTCTGATCCACGCAAAAGTGGAGGATCTTTCAAGTGGGGATTAGAATAAAATCTCCATGAACTCCGCTCCTCTTCCGAATGCCTCGTGTTCTTAACCACATCAGGTAAAAAAATATATTCCATCAGAGCTTTTAGTTCTGCTAGTTTATTCCTAATGAGCTTCCAAAACTAACAGTAATTAACGTAAGGTAGAACGTATAATTTATTTTTGAGGCAACCAAGTTATTTTAGAACCGAGGTTATTTTCGAGGCAACCAGATCCGGCGAAAAATTTAATGCTAACTTTCCTGTTTTTCCCGAAATTTAGCAAGATTTTCGTTTGAGCAAAAGACGCCCCCGAACTCTATCTCTGATTAGTTTCCTTTTCAGAGAAGCAACTGGAAGATGAACTCGGCGGCATAGACGGCTGTGGAGTGGTGGTTGAGAAGTTCTCTGAGGGAACAGGAGGGGGAAGTTTGGAGGGGGAGGAGAGTGAGTTCGACTATGACAGAAGCAAGTGGCCGGATGCAGACACCAGGGACTTCTACCAGACATTCCCAGACATTGTGCCTATGTTGCCAGCGGTAAGGGAAACAACGCCCTATCCAATTGTTTTACAGAACATTATTGACCACCGTTTATGCAAAATTAATCGATTATTAGTAGGTTTGGCCATTCAAGCGAATATATGAGACATTATGTACTAACATTCAAAACAATGGGCCGTGGAAATCGTTGCGACACATAAATCAATAGTTTTCATTGCAGAATCGTTGTGTCGAAGTTTGAACTGTTTTAGGCTCTGATCAGAGCTGAGTCTTTGTTGTCGAAAACACAAAATGAAGAGGAGAGCGAGGAACTAACAGGTAATTATGATCACCTAACTTTTATTTTTGTTTTGAAACTCGCTTTACATATTCGGTTGCTAGGTGAAGCTCAAGTTTTCCAACCGGACTAAATATTTTACCAATCGATCCATGTTTCTCAAAATTGGTTTGTGTTATCAGAAAAATAGGAATCTTGAAAGATTGTTAGCATTCAAAGAGCTTTATGGCCACTTTCCAAACTTAATAAATATTTACATGTTCAATGTACACTGCACTGGGCTACAATAAATAAGTAAACACTTGATTTCAACGAGAGAAAAAATGATTTTTTTTCCCCGCGTTTTTGTCTTTTCTCTGCAACTAATAGAGATAGCATTTGGTTGAAATTTTATCACATTATAGATGAAGCTATTTTAAAATACTTAGCCTGGTCGAAATTTGAGAAATCTCGCTTTAGAGGTGTTTCAGAGGTGTTCTTGATGTGGAAAAATCCTCCAAAACAACATAAGAAATCTGAATCCATGGGCTCAAATTGGACCTGTGAGACAATGATCAACTTGACTTACTCTTTATACCGCGGAAAAACGACAGACAAAATAATTGAAAGAGTGACTTAGTCCGGTGTTAAAAAAGGGGTGATTATGTATAAATAATTTCACGCGAATGATCGAAATGAGCCAATAAAAAGCTGCTCCATCAAGCTGCTCCAATAAAAAGCTGCTCCATAAGTTATTATGTTGTCTCTAAAAACTGACATTTATCAGGAATTATAGCCCATGTTTGTTTTTTTCACCCCTGACTAAGTCAGTCTGTCATTTTAGATGTGAAGAAAAAATTTTCATTCCTTTGGTCGTTGAAATCAAGTGCATTCTTATTTATTGTTAGCCCAGTGTATCGACGAGCCGGATTATAGCTAGGTAACCCTTGATAACGAAGGGATCCATTTGTATGAACCTAACCTCGTGGGCAACGAGAACATAAAACATTGCTGCATACAATACACGTTTTCATAGCCTCGGACAATACGATATTGAAATATACAGTTTTGAAGAAGCTCCATCAAATATTATTTGATCTTTTTACTTTCTCCGTCAAAAAGCGTGTCAAGTTTTCTAGCGACCTCGGGTTGACTCTCTGTGGTTAAAAGAGTTTTGACTTGCTTATTTTCGTTCACTGATCAACATGTCTACGTTATAGGCTTTTGGTTCAGATCCTTTCATCACGCCACGGACAAAAAAAAACAATTTGAATTTTTTTGCTATTCTTGTTCCAATTGGCTAGTTTAACCAATAAGTGCTGAATCACGCAAGGCTATTTAAAAAATCGAAATTAGTAATTCAAATTTATTCAACAGAAGAATCGACGAAAGAAGAGTCGGAAACGAAAGAAGAGTCGGAAACGAAAGAAGAGTCGGAAACGAAAGAAGAGTCAGAGACGAAAGAAGATGAAGAAAAGGATGATTCATTAGAAGTAGATACTTCCGGAGAAGACAAGGAGACTGAAGGAATCGAAGAAGAGTCCTCATCGGAACAAAAGAGTTCCCCAACTGAAGAAGGGAAAAATGATTCCACTGCTATACAGTGTCAACAGAAGGCTAAGAAGACTCTTGGAACCAAAGGGTCTGCCTCGGATGCTCTGGAAGATGCACTGGCCGATATTGGGTACCAGGATTTGGAGGATGAACTTGCTAGTGATATGAGCAAGACATCAATCTCGACCAAAGGCAAGTGTATTAAAGTTGATTTTGGTTTTTTGATTAGTCATTTACTAGTAATTTTTTCGCAAACGAAAAAATCTCGTCAGTTTGGTCTTGATTATGTTTTTATGTCGGTAAAGATGTATTTAGTTGAGTGCATTTAATGAATGAGTGTGCGTTTTTCTCTGTCTAGACATTGCATCTTCTGGGTCTGGTGGTGGCTCTTCCAACACCAGTCTGGCTCAGATCCAATTTGAGAAACTTCTCTCAAGGCTTCCCGAGTGCATCAACCGGGAGCATATAGACCAGGTCAGCATCCAGTTCGCCACCGCCCAAGGGCTGAACACCCAGGTCAACAGGGCTAAACTGGCCAGGAGTATGTTCATGGTGTCCAGAAACAGGCGAGTACATCTCAACTAATCGATTTTTCGGAGCTCACGAACGTACTTACTTCCCACGGAATTTTTTTTTGATAGAAATGTTTACACTTGCGAGTCTCTAGTGTATTAGTACGAACTTTTTTTTCTAACTTGACTCGCAAATGAAAGTGTTCGTTGAAAGTGTTCAATTATATGGAAATTTCACTGTATCATTGGAAATTGCATAGCATCCATATGTTCTCTGCTTTATTTGTGGCTTGTGTTTGATATTAATTAAGCGTCCATGGCTGAGTGGTTAGTGCGTGAGACTCATAATTTCTAGGTCGCAGTCAGGGGCTTATTTAGGAGGGGGGCGGGGGGGCGGACGCCCCCCCTCAGGGATTCGAACCCCTGCCAACCCAAAGGGTCCCCCCTTTGGTACTTTTTAAGAAATCCATTTTTGGCCGACCGACCCTAAAAATTTTCTAAAGGCGCCTTTGGCGCCAATACATACTAATTTTGAGGGGGAGCGCGTGCCAAAAAAAACGCGTTTTTTTTTGTCAAAACTTTCCAAAAAGTGCCCAAAAACGGCTTTTTTGACCTGTTTTTCAAAAAATTTTGCCTGCGGCGCAGAAAATTTGGCCAAAACAGGGTCTTTTTACTGCTTTGGGAGAGCTTGGAAAATCAATCTGATCGACCTAAAATTTTCGAAAATTTTTTGAAAATCCCCCCCCCCTTCGAGAAAATCCTAGATCCGCCCCTGGTCGCAGTAGGTAGTAGGTTTAAATCCGAAATGTAGTAAAATTTTTACTAATTCGAGGCTTACTTCTACTTTTTCTTACTGCTTTTTGCCGTGTTTTCGTTAGGGTTTGCGAAGCGAAGCTTCGCCTCTGTCTATTAATGGAATGTGTAATCGGCGGATGTCCAGGAAGCCGTCATCTGTTGTATTGCACCACAATTTTACTTTTCGGCATGTTGATATGGTCATCCTATTTTCGGCTAGCCTACCAACGTGTAATCACATGTGTTTGATATAAAATTTACTGAATGTATCAAATACAACAAATTATTTGTGGTTAATAAAAAAAATCTGCTGATTATAGAAGATAAAACAAATTACGTAACATGCAAAAAAGGAACAAACACTGTCAACTTGTTTTTTTTAAATACATATTTATTCAAAAACACGACCTAAATACGACTTGCTTTCTGTATCGGGTTTTTACGCAACTAAGCGCTTGTGTTATATTACGAGTTCCCTTTTAAGAGTAATGAACGTATTGAGCAGGTATTATATAGGTATTGCTGACTATTGTTTTGCTTTTTTTCACGCTCAATTTTGATTGTTTTTTGAAACGCACTGATTTTTTGAAGTTCAGTGCGTTTCTATTGCGAAAAGAAAGGCAAACTCCACTATCGAACAGCAAAAGTGTAAAGGTCACGAAAAACGTGATCGACTTCTAATTTCGAAAATGGAAATTAATCAGATTTCCCAGCGAAATGAAAGTTTTACCTTTTGATCCAGTTTTTATCCACTCGATTTGTTGATTCTTACGAGATAAAAGCTATTAGTGACGTGATAACTGATGACAATGTTGTTATTGTATTCTAGACTGGATCTGCTTCCGTTCTACAGTAGAATGGTGGCCACTATCTACCCCTGTGCACCCGAAGTGGCCAACCAGCTGTGCAACGACCTCTACCGCGAGTTCAGATTGTGGGTGAGTTACATACATACATGCGGCTGGCACGCACATGCACACATAAATAGCAGAATAGCAGTAATCAGCGAACATAAGAAGAGCATGTTTACTTACATGTGCGAGTGCAAGTATCTTTGATCGGGAGCTTTTTTTCTTTTTTTCCCGTAAACTTTTTTTTCTTACTTGCTTTATTATTGAACCTTAACAACTTCGAGGATCGTTCCCACTTGGCCCAGAGATTGCCTCAACCTTTGGGTCTCAATTTTTTTTCGCTAGCTTGCAATTCTGCGCTTGAATTGTATCGCTAGTGATGTTTAGCTCCCCTTTGCCTCTGTTCTTATTTTTACACATAATGGGAACAAAGACCTATGATGTAGGTTTTTTGTACTAAGCTAGAGAGCTTGGTGTTATATTGCGATGCCACCTTTGTTCTTACCCAACGCACATTGATGCTGCTTTGCATTGCCAGTCTAATTCCATCTGTTTTCTCTGCTTTATTTGTGGCTAGTTTTTCGGTATTGTCAAACGAGCAAAATTTTTTAAACTTATTATATCTCGCAGTTTTTTTGAAATGCATATTTTATACATAATGTGGCTTGATACTTTCCAATTTTTTGAATGCAAAGGATGCCTTCAGTTTGTTATGTTCCAAATTATTACAAGCAAAGTTGTGTCTATGCGTTTTTGCTGCCATTTTTGCTGCATCGCATTGGAAAGCAGCATATGTAGCTGCTTTATTTCTGACTAGTTTACCGATTGATAAGCGTTCGGGACCGAAAGGGCAGGGTGTGATGTTCCAAATCTCAAGGTTACAATCCGATTCGTTGCAAAGATTTACGTAGCGATAATTTTTTCGGGAAAAGTATTAAAATTTGTTAAGGCTCAACTTCATTTTTCGCGGTTTCATTTTTGATTTTTTTCATTTTCCTAGTTCTTTTCTTAACAGGAAGACAAACTCCACTATCAGATAGCAGAACAGATTTTTAAAGGTCACGAAAAACGTGATCGACTTGTAGTTTTGGAAGTGGAGTTTAATTTTTAGATTTCCCATCGAAATAGATATTTTACTCATTGATCTCATTTCTCAAATTGGGTTAATTTTATCGAAAAAGTTTCAATCATAAATTATTCTAGGAATTCTAAACAATTTAAGGGCATCAATTGTGTAAAGTAATGAAAATAGTGAAGACTCCTATATAAGTCTTGCAGATTTTTTTTCAATGAAAAAGTCTTAAAATGTGCACAAAAGTCTCTAATAACTACAGGTGTGCATTCATACATATTGATGCCTTTGTAAATGCACTTAGGTATATATGCTTTTTTGAATTCAAATGAAATTGATCTGCTGAAAGTTACATAAATAGCACTCTCCAAATAGGAACGTGGAAATGGCGCAAAGAAACGTGAATAATTTTTAGTTTGGAAAGTGGAATTTAATTTTTAGATTTCGAAGCGGAATAAAAACTTTACTTGTTGATCCAGTTTTCTCAAGTTGGGTTAATGTCATCTATAAAGCGCCAATCATAAATTGTTCTAGAAATTCAAAGAGCTGAAAGGGCAACTATTTTTTTCTTTGAAATTCGAAAGTCGGTATTTTTTTCGGTTTAATTTCGTTCATTGATTCTTTTCCAACTGTTTGTTGGCTATGTTCTTTCCTTTCCACTTTTTTGTCTTTTAGAGCTACTTTTTTGTTTTTTGTTTGCTTGTGTTTGCGAAGTACTGCTTCGACTCTGTGTTAACAGTGTTCATCATAAAAGATTCGTGAAATTTAAAGTGATATATTGTTCAGAACATACGGAAGTTTTCAAAAAAGTGTGACATTTTGTTCGTTCTCCTTGAGACTCTTGGCTCTTTTTTGGTCTTCTAAATTTATTTCATGAAAAGCATAATATTTATGGAGAAAAGAAAATTGTGACACGAAATTTACATTATGCGTTGTCCAAACCGTTCAAATGCTGAAATTGAAATGATTAACGCTTGAACTCAGGAGAAGTCACGGGCACATTGTTTTATTGACATCTTATTAAATGGGCCTCTGACTATGTGTATACCGACCAGAGTGTTGTTTGTAGATTCTGAAGAAAGATCAGATCAAGCTGGAGTCTAAAATAAAAACAGTGAGCTTCATGGGGGAGCTGACCAAGTTCGGAGTGTACAAGGCAGAAATGACTCTGAGAGTGTTGAAGCAGTTGCTGAAGACATTTGTACACCACCAAATAGATATGACATGTGCACTACTTGAGTCTGCAGGGAGATTCCTCTACAGAACTCCAGCCTCGCACCGACTCACTAAGATACTACTGGTTAGTCTTAACTGGTTGTAGTGAGCGAAATTCGCTTAGTTGAAAATGACCTCATTAGATTTTTTCATTGTTTAAGAGTAATGAACGTAGTGAAGGCTCTAATATAGGTCTTGCTGATTTTTTTTTTTCGGGTAAAGTCTTAAAAGTCTCTAATAACTAGAGTGCATTCAGATTTTGAGTTAAATTGTAATTAATCTGCTGAAAGTGACGTAAATTGCACTCTCCAAATACGGACGTGGAAATGGCGCCAAAAAACGTGAGAGATTTCTAGTTTCGAATGTGGAATTTTTTTTAGATTTCCAGTGGAATAAAAACTTTACCTTTTGGTCCAGTTTTCTCAAGTTGGGTTAAGGTTATAAAAAAAAAGCGCCAGTCATAAATTGTTCTAGAAATTCAAAGAAATCTAGTGCATCTATTTTTTTCTTTGAAATTCGAAAGTTGCGATTTTTTCAAGAAAGTCAGTGTTTTTTATGTTTACTTGCGTTCATTACTCGTTTCCAATCTTCGATTGGCCATGTTTTCTGGTTGAAAATGACCTTTTGTTAGTGAAAAACTGTTTTACGTATACATTGAGTGCAGAACTTAGGCAGTAAGACCTCAAATATTATCAGTGTCATCAGGATGTTTTGATATTCTTCAAATCAGGTTCTTAGAATTTGTTGCATAAAAACTTTGTTCAGACGCTGTGTTGTGATCTTCCGTGTTTTTAAGAGTCTATGAACTTCATGATGATTTTTTTCAGGAAAAGTCTTAAAATTTGTTCGCGCTCAAATTTACTTTTTTAGCAGTTTGACTTTTGATTTCTTTTTAAGTTCACTTCATTTCTGTTAAAAGGAAGGCAAACTCCACTATCGAACAACACAAGTGTATAAAGGTCACGAAAAACGTGATCGACTTCTATTTTCGAAAGTGGAATTTAATTTGCAGATTTTCCAGCGACCAGTGAAATAAAAATTTACCTGTTCATCTAGTTTTCTCAAATTGAGTTAATTTTGGGTTAAAAAAGTGGCAATCACAAATTGTTCTAGAAACTCACAGAGTTGTAAGGCCATATATTTTTTGAAATGCGGAAATTGATATTTATTCAAAAAAACAAAACAAGTCAATTTTTTTTCTACTTACGTTCATTGACTCTTTTCCAACTGTCTGTTGGCTATATTTAGTTTGTCGGAACCCAGTAAAACGCAGTAGTTTGTGGCGTTTAGGACGAGATGATGCGGAAGCGGTCGCTGGCCAACCTGGACCCCAGACAGAGTGCGATGGTAGAGAATGCGTACTACTGCAGCAACCCACCCCCTCTGTCCTCACTCGTCAATGTGCAGAGGGAACGACTCCCTGTCATGCTAGCTTACATTGACCACCTGATCACTAAAGAGCTCAACAAAAACACAGTCGACAAGGCAAGTGTTGACTTGAAGTCTTGAAGAGAAGCTTGATTAATCAATAGTTTTGGTAGCAATCACTGAGAAAACTTGAGAAGACGGAAAGGCGAAAATTCAACCGTTTTAAATTAACCGGACACAACGAACAATATTTGAATATTCAAACGCATTTTTGTTGAATTGGGTTAAGATTAAACAAAAAATTAAGTGAACAAAAGCTGCTTAGAATTTCAGCAGAATTAAAATGGTGCATTTTTTTTCAGTATTTACGCTGAAACTACCATGTTGATTGATGAGAAATTTATATTAAAAAAAGCTCTTACACAGCCCAACAAAAATCTAGAAAAATAAAGTTTCCAAAAATTTGTCGAAAAGAATATATTTTTGGGTTGATAGCCAAAAACAGTAATTTTTTAGAATAAAAATCAAAATCTTTTCTTAGAAACAAATTTAAGGCAAATTTTTTGGAAGTTTTGTAAGAGGCTTTTTTGGCTATCAACCCAAAAATATATTCTTTTCTACAAATTTTTGGAAACTTTATTTTGCTAGATTTTTGTTGGGCTGTGTAAGAGATTTCTTTTGATATAAATTTCTCATCAATTAGCATGGTAGTTTCAGTGTAAATATTGAAAAAACGCACCTGTTTCTTGGTTAACTAAAATAAACGCCAAAGTGACCCAATTTGGGTATAAAATTTTGGCTGAGAATTTGCACGAAAACATTGCACAATATTAATTCTGGTGGAATTCTAGGCAGTTTTTGTTTTCTTTTTTTTTGTCCTATCTTAACCCAGTTAGAGAAAAGTGCGTTTGACATTTCAATTTTTAGTATTAGTAGTTTTGTCCGGATAATTTAGACTAGCAGTGTATGGCATTTATGGTTAAATAAATTTTACTTTTTGGAACACACTTTTAATCTGTGAAAATTTGTGAGAAACTGAAATCCGACGTCAAAATGAGTAGTTTTAGGTTCATTAACTTCGTTAAGATTCGTTGACCGAAAAGGATTATTGCTACAAATTGGCATTTAACTAAAATTGAACTTGCATGATGTGCATTGACTTTGTTTGAAGCGATTGAAACAATGACATTAGAAGGACATTAGGAGGGTGAAACAAGAGGTCATTAGGATGGAAATGGTGACATGAGATGTCTTGTCTTCTCAGGTGTTGCACCAGGTACGCAAACTGCACTGGGAAGACAGTGCTACCGTGGACTTCATCAGGGACACGTTCACAGCTGTGTGGAGGGTGAAGTTCTCCAACATACAGTACGTGGCCAGTGTCCTCGCAGGACTCCTCAAGTACCATGACGACATCGTCGTCCATGTCATCGACAATGTCCTGGAAGACATACGTGTCGGAATGGAGGTAAGAATCCAGTGCTAACTCCACTGGCATCAGGAATTGTTTTCCACATTTGTAGTCCAGCCATTAAAGGTTCGGTACAAATAAGATGGTTTTAAGTAGTTAATTGGTTGATATTTTAATTAGTCTGTGTAAAACTTCAAAACACTTGGACGACATGATCGTACAATAGAATTCAATGGCGAGGGACAGCAAAAAGATTTAATTTGCTATTTAATTGATGAATGTTTGCTACCGAGCCAAATCAGTTTGCGGCAATGTTGAAGGAACTTACTTGAAAAATAACTTAGTAGATTTTCATTATCTCGACATATGCTGGTTTATTCACGTCACTATCATTGCTAAAGATCTCCCTTGGTCCAGGTGCAACTGTCCAAATTCAACCAGCGTAGAGTGAGTGTAATCAAGTATCTGGGGGAACTGTATAACTACAAACTATTGGACTCATCCGTCATTTTCAACGTCCTCTTTTCCCTCATCACATTTGGTGGGGGAGGAGGGGGAGGCGCCTATTCGCCCCTGGATCCAGGTCACCACTTGTTTCGAGTGAGATTGGTGTGTACTCTGTTGGATACATGTGGTCAGTTTTTCAACGGAGGAAGTGCAAAGAAGAAACTGGATTGTTTCCTTGTATACTTCCAGGTATGCATGCAACTATGACACTTTATGAAAATTTGCCTTTTTCCTGAGTGGTAGAACTACTCGAAAGAGCTGATAGTAGATTGGATATAAGTTTCATTGATCAGGGCTTTTCGCCAGCCTCGGGACCACTGAACAGCATGAGAGTCAATGAAAGTTGACAATAAGAAAACCTTATTGGTTATTTTTTGATATCGCTTTTAATCAATCGACTTAATTTTGGAAGCAAATGACGCAAGTTGAATTTTTTGATTTCGTGGTTTTTGGGACGTTAACTGCTTTTTTAATCTTCTGTCTTCTGTTTAGCGTTATCTTTGCGTCAAGCGTGAGTGGTTCAAAGAGCAATCTCCAGATGCCCAGAAACTAGAATCTCAGGTACCGGAAAGCCCCACTTCCGAAGAGAAATCGGGCGACACTAAACGTGAAAAACAGATGGCCACTCTGGTAGACGCAATGAGGAATTCGGCCAAGGAGGGCGGGGGGCTGCCGACTGACGTTGAATACATGGTGTCGGACACGATGGAACAGCTGAGGCCCGAGTTGAAGTTGGTTTATAATCTGAAGGAAGCTCAAGAATCAGTGGAAAAATTAGAAAAGGAACTCAGAGACAGTTACTGTTAGTAGCAGAGGAAATGTATTGTATTTGGCATGAAACGCGTCTAGCCCAGTTTAAAAAATGTCCCTAGAGTTTTATGTTGTGGGATATTTTTTTTCAAGGGAGGGGGGATTTACTGATTGTTAGCGAAATAAATGAACAAGTGTTGATCCAGGTTTTTTAAATTATGTTAATTCTATGAAAACAGTGTCAATCATAAATTGTTCTTGCAATTCAAAGAGTTTTAAGGCCATATGTTTTCGAACATTGAAGTTATTTTTCATAAAACAAGTCAGTTCTTTTTGCTGTTTACTTACATTCCTTGACTATTTTCCAACTTTGTTGGCTATGTTTTTTATTGTGGCAGGGGGTGGCGGAGACAAGAGTCTTTTGGTAGAAAATAGACACTTGATACACAAACTCTTTTTTGGTTAATTTTCTCTCATTCCGAAAATGAAATTATGCACTTTGATCATGCACGAAAATAGAATAGCACAATTGAATTTTTGTCCCAAGTAAAATATATGCGAATATTGGGATGTGGGCGACTTTGTTTGTTTTTGCAGTATCACAATTACCTGAAGATGTACGCGAGTCATTCGATGCAAACAACTTGCAACAGCAGCATCAGATGACATATGCCAACTCCACCCAATTGCCAACACAAACTGAGGCCTCTCACGACTTGTACGCCATCAATGAACAGGACGAGAACAGTTTCGAGCTAGACAACGAGCAAGAGCTAGCTCCTCAGGTTCGGGGAAAGACACATTTAAGGCTCCTTGAAAACAAAAAAATGTGACAGAAAATACTATTGTGCTTCCTCTGTGGAAGGTCTATCACTCTGAAACCGGCTTTGTGTTTTTATTTCAGGCCAGAACAGTGGACGAGGGCTACAGTCCGAACAGTGCGGAAGCCAGTCCACTAATGCCACACAAAACACTGGAATCCAACACACAACAGCAGGTGTCCCAGATGGAGGAGGAGCCGGATGATTTTGCAGATGAGTTCGAGAAGTTCCTCACGGAGAACATACAGGTTAGGCTCAAAGGTTACAAATCCTCAGACAAAAATGCACTCAAGTTTCAATGAACAATTATTTCACTTGCGAGAGCAAGTTGCTTTTAAGCGGGAACTAGACTTTTTCCCGAAAACATTTTTTTTTACTGACGATAGGTCTTGGGGTACGAGTTCCGAGCGTCAAATAAACGCGATTTTTGGCCAAGACTTCAAAACCTTCTGTAAGACGTCGTTTTCTTTTTTTTTTGAAAATCTTCAGTCCCTCAAAAGCTCTAAAGATCGCTTCAACTGAGTCAATCGCCAAATAAAAACACGGAAAGATTATTTCGTATTAGCTTTTCTTTACTCTAGAATTTTTTTTAATGTTTCATCCAGTTCGAATCACGGTTTTAGGTAATTCGGCTTGCATTGGTTTGGTTAACTTAACTAAAGTTTCAATGCCAATTCTAACAATTTTGTATGCTTGTTTCAGCAAAGAACAGCCGAGTCTGTTCGCAACGTGACCCCAACAGATATTGCTTTGCCTCTCGCTGCCAGAAAGCAGCTGTACAACCCAGCAGAGCCGAGTCAAAGTATTCTCAACAGCAGTTCCGACGCATTATTCCCAACATCAACCGGGGATGCCAGTAGTGGCAATTCTGCAATTCATTCTCAAGGTACTTCGGATATTTCGACCGAAGATGCTTCGGCTAGCAGTGGCGGCGGAGGCAGTATTTCGATCATGCTTAAGAAGGGCAACAAGGTTCAAGTGAAAGATCTGAATGTGCCGATCACAGATGAAATGGCAGAAAACATCAGACAACAGAAAATTGTACGTTATACTTTAAAATAATGGCTTGCTTTCGCGTCAGAATTACAGCATACATATAAATGGGGAGCTTTGCTGACATACAGACTATAGTTTCCGGCTTTTCTTATTGTAACAGTTATTTAACTCTAGGCTGAAACTCTGTTAAAAAGATGTGAACTGATTCTAACTGTGTTTCTCTCTTTAGTGGACGTTCTCTATTTTCGGTCATAAGCATTCAACGTAACTCAAGGTCATACAAAATGACGTAAACTAATGACGTGTACAATTTCAGGGGCTCTCATAATTAGTATTAAAAAATTTTCTGATCGAAACTATGTAATTTGATGTTTCAGACAGAAGACAATGAGCGCAAGAAGTTGATAGAGATGACGCTGAACATCAACAAACGCCAGCAGGAGGAGGAACAGCTAGGTAAGCTGCTCAGTGACTTTGAAACTTATAGCTAGATTTTTTTAAATGCGTCGCTGTTTTTAAAAATCAGTTATTTTTCTTGGCAAAAGCCGTCTGATTTTGAGATTTCTATTTAAGGGGTCAAAAATGCTAATTTGATCAATTTAATTGTTTTTCATGGATGAGCTACAGCTATATTTGGTGGATAGGTTGTAGCACAAGAGTTCTTCTCTGATTGCTCATTTCAACACAAGGTGCTTGTTAATTTAATGGACTTGGAGTTTTTTTTTGGATGTATTGGAACATTGAAAGACTTAGTAGAAACAGTATTTGGATATTGCAATCTATGACTCCAGCAATAATTCTTTTGCATCCCGTGGTATAAGTTTTTAAGAGTCGATGAACGAAGTTCAGACTATTATATATGTCGCGATGGTTTTTTTTCAGGAAAAATTGTTCAGGCTCAAAATTACTTTTTCGCGATTTGACTGTTCTTTTCTTTTTAACTTCAGTTCATTTACTTTTTTAAAAGGAAGGCAAACTCCACTATTGAACAGCAAAAGTTTAAAGTATCCCTGCGAAATCAAAATTTTACTTTATTGATCCAGTTTTCTCTCAAAAGTGCTAGTCATAAATTGTTCTAGAATCCAGAGAGCTTTAAGGGCATCTTTTCTTCTTCGAATTCGAAAATTGAGATTTTTTCAAGACAAACAAGTGAGTTTTTTGGTTTTTCTGTTTACTTGCGTTTATTGACTCTTTTCCAACTGTCAGTTGGCTATCTTTTTTGTTTGAAAACGGGGGGCTCATTAACTTTAAAATGAAAATAAAAGTTTTGGTTTTTTAAGATTAATGCATGTCGTGAAGACTCTTATTTAGGTCTTGGTGATTTTGTTTTCGTTTTTTGTTTCGAGAAAAAAGTCTCAAAATCCTCTAATAAGTACAGATGTGCATTCATACATATTAATGCATTTGTAAATGCACTTAGGTATATATGCTTTTTTGAGTTCAAATGAAATTGATCTGCTGAAAATTATGTAAGTAGCACTGACCAAATACGAATGTGGAAATGACGCAAAGAAACGTGAACGAGTTCTATTTTCGAAAGTGAAATTTATTTTTTTTAGATTTCCAGCGGAATAAAAACTTTACCTATTGATCCAGTTTTCTTAAGTTGGGTCAATGTCATCAAAAAAGCGCCTATCCATTAAAGGGCATCTATTTTTCTCTTTGAAATTCGAAAGTTGAAATTTTTGCAAGAAAATCAGTGTTTTTTATGTTTACTTGCATTCCTTGCTCTTTTCCAACTGTCTGTTGGCTATGGTTCGATTTCTGGGTCTCAATCTTTCTCTATGTTTTTGTAAACGAGTAAATAATGAACCCTGTGATTATAATGGTAACATTAAGGCTGGAAGCAATTTATTGTTATTATTATTATGAAATGTAAGGTTTTTTCAAAAATAAGTCATATTTTTTGTTTCTTTGGATCTGCATAACACCTAATAGCCCCTTCAATTGTTAAGTAAATTAAGTTAGTCTAATTTTCGACCTATTAGAATGCAGCAAAATTCGAATTATAAATACAACGCTCTTGTGCTAATTAACTGCTTATATTTATAGGGGTGGCGATTCTTTAGTTGCTACTATAGGGGGATTGTTAAATAGATCCGTTTCTTTGCTTCCATTGACTCTTTTTCCAACTGTCTGTTGACTAAGTTTTCAATTTTTACATTTCAAAAAGTTTTTTTTAGAAATGATAAGCAGTATCCAGAAATCTCTAGTGGAGGGAGGAGGGGCCAAATATGATAAGAAACAATCGGTTATGGTACAGGGATACCAGCACACGAAGGGAGCTCCTAACGTCACCCATATCTTCCAGAAGTAGAAGTCTCTCTGGCGTGCGCGTTGGCAAACCATCACGCACTGATGAAGTCATTCATGGTTATAGCAGCCTAATATCAAGGCTGGAAAACCAAACGAAATTCAGATAGTAGACGACAGCTGCTGTTACAGTAGACCCGGTTACGGACGAGATTTGTCGAAGTCGTTTCTTGTCATTACTTCGAAATTTGCCTGAGGAGGCAGTGATTTGAGGAGAGAATTTGATCTACAAAAACTGCATAAAACATAATTTACTCTTATGATTGCAATCAGTTCAGTTACAAAATTTTTCTTTCTTTTTCATAATAAAGTATCATAATCAAGTATCTTTTGCTCCAAAACCTTAACTAAGTATCAATTCAAACGGTTAGATTCAAGAAATTCTCGACTGGGCATTTGTTTAAAAAAATTTTTTCTGTTAGATCGAATTGATTTTGTTAGCTCTCATAAAACACTCTGGAACCTCATTTTCACCAAAAAAAAGATTGCTTTGCTTGAGGGAAAAAACGGGCAACAAAAATTTTTCTGAAGTATTTTAGAAAGTTTCAACCAAAATCACGTTTTTCGGCGTGGATCTCCCCAAACTTTTGCACAATGGCGCCTGAAATAAATTAGGATACTTTGAACAAATATGACTGTCATAAAATAGTGCTAAAGTAGTCAATTCTCCCAAAATAAGGGCGTCCGCCCGTGTTTCCAACTATCAGTCTGATGAATTAAAGTAGTGGTAAGAAAAGTGACACTCAACTTATTTACTTAGCGTGGTTTTTCAGGTTTTCCAGCAAATAACCTCCATAATTTTTGTTCATTTTTCTTTTTGGACGTTCTTTTTTATTCAAAAATTATTTGTGATTACTGTGAAAACATTAGAGAAAAGCTATCTTGCCCTACAAATATCTCTGGGTGTAGCTTTATCTGCTTAACCGGCTCTTTCACATTTTTTTTTCGCTCAGCTTTTACGTAGCTGTTAAAACTGAAATAAAAATTGAGTATTATGATCAAAATTAAATAGAAAAAAAATTACTTGGTGGAATGATTTTGTCTCATATTAACTTTATTGTTACTTTTTTTTTCAGATTTTCCGTCCTTTTTGAATTTTTTTGTCATACTCAGTTGATCTCATTAGTTCATTCATAAAATATCGTATCTCGTCAATTTATCTATATGCCGTTGTTACGGAATCCAATCTTAAAACAATACCTTGCAAGCTCCACAAGCTTATTTAAGTGACGACGCTTATGTGACAAAATTAAACCAGGATTTGTAAAAAAGTAAAGGATTTTTATTAGCAATCAGTAAGTAAAACGCAAATTCAAAAAAACTCAAATGACATAATTTTTTTTGGTAGTTTAGCAGTTTTCTGTTATAAAAAATGGGCAAGATAAAGTATAATTCGGTTTTGAATTTTTTCTCGATTTTCTTTCAAGTAGAAAAAACGTTTTTACTCGGCAAAGTTGTCTTAGAAACACACTTTTTTATTTAAAAAAAGGAAAACGCTAATTGCTTGTGAACAGCCATAAATGAAGCTTTTACTTGTCTAAACTGCTTAAAAAATGTTCAAGAGTTCTGCTCTATTTACTTTATTGAATTATATCTAGAGAATGAAATTTTCAATAATCCTGCTGTCGACAGCAGAAATGTGAATTGTGAGTTTTATCTCTATCGCTGTTAAAAGTGAATTGAAAAAGTTCGCAACAGCAGAAGTAGTGAGTTTTCAAGATATCAACACAGCTTTGCAATAGATTGATTTTAAATAGATTGAAAAGGTTGCCACTGAGACTGTAAGTTGTGTACGTTTGTGTAGTTTCTTACAGAGGGATCAGTTAAGTTCCAATAATTTTATTTTTTCATTTCTGAACTTGTTTATCGAGTTTCAATCAGCGGTTTGAAGAAAACCAGAATGTTAATTGCTGGCGTTACTTTTTTGGCTGTAAAAAGTATATTAAAAGACAGAAGTGAAGCTGAACTTGGTACCTCTTTCAGTACAATAATGAAAGGTCCATCAAATTTTCACTTTATTTACTTTACACATTACGAGGCGTGCAAAAAACAAATTTGATACTTTTAGAAGTGAGAAATTGATGTCACTAAATACACAGTCCTTAGTCTTTTTTTTTCGGGGTGTAATAATCGATTGATTCTTTTTCTGCTATTTTTTTTATTGAAGGACAGTAATTTAGATTACAAAACAACTTGATATCCATATAACTAAATTTTGGATTTTTTCATCAGAAATCTGTTTCATTAATTTTGACATTGGAAAATTTGTTTCCAGCTGTTTTATAATTATTGTTTTTGTTTCCATAACTTTTCTTTCACAGGTCATGCAGAGTTTGGCTTTGCTTCTGATCAATTATTTTGATTTCCGCTAAGCAACCATTCCACACGCTAAACTAAGCTTTGCATCACTTGTGATACAAAAAATATAGGATTAAAACCGCAAGAGACCCAAAAACTATCAAAGAGAGTTCGAATAATATCACCGTTGAAGAAAAAACTAGCAAAACAAAAAGTTACAAGCCAAAAAATTAGTTTCAAAAGTGAGTTCTAAAGCGCAATAAAAATGAGTATTCAAAAATTTAAATTTGAGGCCAAAGTCTTATCGGTTTCATCACTAATATCGGAAACTTAGAAGAAATAAAATATTAGGTAACTAAGCCAACAGAATTAAAGCGGACAGCTAATCATCTGAAAATCATTCAAGTTTATAGATACATTTACTGCCCAACTAGTCTCCAAGAAAACCTATATATCTACTGAGTGTAAGATGGTATATACAATTCGGAATGGAAACCAAGCTTAATCGACAACCTACAGACGAAAAACGACCAGCTAAAAATTACCGATAATTTATCTCACAACTAGAACTATAAAAATGAACGAAGATAGTTTTGAATAAAAAAACATGCCCAGACAATAGAATGCAACATTAGCATGGGAACAAAAACTTACCTCAAGATCCTTCATGGCGCAACAAAAATTCTAGGCAAATAAAAAATTTTTGAGACCCCCTTCCCCACAAGCGAAAATTTTCAAGAAAAATCCAAAAAAATATCTGGAATCACACGACGCAGTAAGAGGCCACTAAATCAATATAAAATAAGCCAACATTATAACAGAAGCGAATTTTCACTTCGCATACCCAAGCAAAAATATGCCCGGTAACGCAACTGGGAAAACCTGAAAAACCGAATGAGTAAAACTTCGCAGGCCAATTATGACGCATTAGCAGTACCAGTCAATTTGAAAAAGAAAAGAAATTTACCAAGGAAAATGCCTCAATTTATAGAGTGTACGCACGTTAACTAGCATACGAAAAAGTTCAACCTGCCCAGGTTCTCCCCTCTTACTTTGTTGCGGGTCTCCTTCCCTATCTCTACACAACAGATCGATGATAGCTTGAAACTAAAGTGCTACTAGAGGCCAAGCTAAAGCTGGAGGTACCTGTTTGATATTTTATGAATTTTTTGTACTGATGCGGGATAAAGTAAGTTAAAAAATTTAAGCATTGAGCTTCACCCAAAACTTTGATTGTTGCTCTATTAAAAAATGAGTGGAAAATTTTGTAACTTCGGAATTCTGAGAAACATGTTTCTTTCTCAAAATTGAAGGCGTAGCAGTTTATGGACGGAGCAATTAAACTCAGAAAAGTCAATGTTTTGATTTCTTGTGCGTTTTAAATTTTTGACTTCTCGAAAAAACTCAATCTGATATCACAAGAAATCAAAATATTGACTTTTCTGAAGGCCATATTTTTTTTTGTGTTTGAAAAATTGAACATGGGCGTTAACACAGACGAGCTTCAAAATGAACACATTTTGTCGCAACAATATTGCGTCGCAACAATACTTACGACTTAGTTTGGAAAAGAAAGAGTTCATACTACAACACAAGCTCTGCTTGTGTAATCAAGCCCAATAAAGATTGGAATTCTAACAAAAAAAAGTTCAACAATTTGGGATAGAAGAAAATGACTTTATTTGTTTGATGTTTACGCAGGCAGACGTTTCTGTTAAAAAATGAGGTAAAACTAAAAATAACTAAAATGAAAGTCGTCTACAGCAAATAAAAACGATTTTTAGATGGCAATTAAGCTGACAGACCCTAAGCAGACAATTATTAGGCCTACACTTTTACTTGAAACATAATATTTCCCGTTTGAAAAAAAAACAGGCCCTGGTCAGATTCCAACCCAGGAACTTTGCCGTGTCAGGTGTTTCCGTTACCCCCAGGCTAAGTGTACAGGAGACACTAAGAAATTGAATACATAATAAAACAAAAAGAGGCCAGATGAGTCCTGTGAACAAAGTTAAGTACGGTAAAAAGTCTCGTGCCCGATTGCAATACACTTGCGTATCGCAAGGATAACAGGAACCATTGATTCATCTCATTGTTTTCCAAGCTTCTGGAAGAAAAATTTAAATTTGGCCGGGAGTTTTTGCGCAGATAATTTAAAAAAAAAACAGCCAAAATGCTGTTTGGGCATTCTGTTAAATACGTTTGCTAAAAAAAAATTTCAAATACGCAATTATTTGCGTTTATAAGCAGAAAATTTAAGGATCTAAATTACCGTCCGAATTCTAATATTTTATGGCGTTCTCGACAAACAATTTGTACAGTTTTTTCTGATTTAAGTTTCAATCAAAATTGGGTACGTTTCAATTTTCTCGATCAAAAAAGTGGGTTGTTTTCGAACCAGGTCAGATACGTCGATTGTTGTCGATAAACATTTTGAACGTGATTGATCAAGTTTAAGTTTGTACGACTGTCTCCAGGTATGTTTTAACCGCGCTGGAAACGGAGCTCAGTGTTAAGTTCGTTGGATGATTCTCGCTGTTTGTTGCGACCGGATACTCGTTTTGTATAACAATTTCTGTAACATTTGCTGCAGATCTGCTTCGGCCGAGAGATTTTGGTTTTGGTTTGAGCCATTCCAGGACTTCTTTTTTTGAAGGGGCAGAATTTTTTATGTTCATCACTATTGCTTTTTTCGAATTGAACATTCAATTTTTTAAGACACCAATTTTTATCTTCGGGCGTATTTCAATAATTTATCTTAAGTTTCTGCTTCAGAACCTGGGTTTCACGAGACTACCTTTTTGGATGCCCATGGAAATCTGTAGATGAAATGTTTATGCCAAAGCGTTCCTTCAAATATTAACTGGATGTTCCTACCTAAATTAACTATAGTTACATAGTCCCTAAATATTAACCAATTCCAGCAAATTCTCACCAGATCTGATTTGATAAGATAATTTTTAAAGCAAAGTTTTGAGGTCATAATTTCAAAAACTAGACTTTACAAAATCCTCAACTTTTTTTCTGCATTAAAGCAACGGCCGTTTAAACAGAAAATTCTCATGACCGGGCTTCTCAATTGAACACGTAAACTGAGAATTAGAAGAGCAATTTTCGCAAAAAGTCAAATTTCCAAAAAACTTTTGTGTAATGCAGAAAATGTGGTTTAGAGAACCATAGTTTTTTGTACTAAAAATTTAGGCGTGGCCGCTCAAGAAGGAGATTTACATATTCTGTTATTTAGATTGAACGCGAAAACTCAGATTTGCGAGGTTTGTTTTTGAGAAAATTAATTTCAAAAAACAGTAAAAAACCAAAAATTGACTTTTCCGAGGGCCATAATTTTATGTAAAAAAATGAGCGTCGTCGGTTATGCAGAAAAATTTCATACAACTCGACTAAACCCAAAATCTCAGATTTGGGAGGGTAGTTTTGGATAAGAAACAAAGATTTGAAAACGGTAAAAAATCAAAAACTTTGAATTTTCCGAGGGCCATATTTGTTAGTATAAAAAAATTGGCCGAAGCCGCATAGGCAGGGGAGCACCTCGCAACCCTTTTCTGGATTGAACGTAACATCATAGATTTCAGAGGGAGATTTTCGAGGTAAATCAAAAATTTAAAAATCGGTCAAAAAATCAAATATTTAACTCTACCGAGGGCCTTAACTTTTTGCGTAGGTTCCCACAACCCTTCCATCCATTGAGCTAAGAACCTCAGATTTCGGAAGGTAATTTCTGATTAAACGAAAAAAATGTGTCAGATATTCACATTTTATCGAAGGCTGTAGACAGTCTCAAAAAATACGATAAAAAACCCAATTCCAAAAATTTTCATGATACCTGTTTTTATATATTAAGAATTCTAGTCAAAAAGGACAAGCAAAGAAATGAATTTAAAATTAGGAACGAAACAAAACTTACGAAGCGGAAACAAAGCCGACAATCTTCGAGGAGACATTAGTTGAGCCAAAAAACCTGATCTATAATTTTAATTCGCCCTGAAACTACTGATCAACACTTGCAACTTTCATGATGCTTACTTACAGCACAAGAAAAAACCGTGATAAGTCACTTATGCCACCAAAACTTGAGCAGACCAACCAAAGTCCGACAATTCCATTTTACCGGAAAATATTTCAATTTCATGCATACAGAAAAAAAATCTCAAAGCTTCCGCGTTGCCCCCAGGCCAAGTGGCAACGAACATAGAAGTTGTTACGGTTCAATGGAAAAGCTAGTTAATTTCTTGTAAGAGAAGTTGTTAACGGGAAAAAAACTCTTGTTTCCGATTACAAGACACTTGCCCACCTAGAACTGCAATTTCATGGTTCAGCAGGAATAAACTAGCAAAATTTTCACGCAGCAAAACCATTATACACTTCTCCGCTCCACACTTGTAATGAAAAAAAAATTCTTGTAAACTGCTAAAAAAAACTTTGATTCATCGACTGCCTATTTCTTATTTTCCTTTTCATCTGATCTTAAACCATTACCTTCAATAAATTCATACTTGACTGAATAAAACTTGGTGCTAAGAAACTTTTCAAAAGTGTTCGGAATGCCACATTGTCACAACCAAGGAAAACATCATCGCGAATTTGGACTTGCTGGAACAATTCAAGTCAAATTTTGAAAACGCATGAAAAGATGGATTATATGCAACACGTGGAGATTTACAGTAGTAGTACATCAAATCAAACATACAGATCATCAATTAAACAGAAGTGATATAACATATCAGTCACTACTTGCGAATCGAGACGGAGTTTTTTTTTTGAATTTGTTGTTTAAATTAACTGAACATAAATTGAGTTTACTTCTTAATTTCTTCTGCTGAAGTGACTGCACTCTCTGTCTGTTCTTCTTTGGGCTCTAGGTCCTCCAATTTTTTGTTGATTAGCTTCGCGGTACTCTCCAGGGTGAATGCGTTGTCCTTCATCAGTCGTTTGAGGGATTCTAAAATGAGAAAAATGAAACTTCTACAATTAAGTACTGAATAAAATTTAGAAACCCGCGAAGAAACTGACCAGCGTTCTTCATTGAAAAATCAGTACAAATCTTTAGTACATAAAAATATGCGGTTATACATCACCCATACGTTTTTTGGCCTGAACGTGCTAAATAACAGTGAAATACTTACCATAAATACCCGTGCATTAAGAATTTTCTTGGCAAATATCGGAAAGTTATGATATAATTGTGCTAGTGAAACTTAATTGTGAATATGTGTACCTTGTGTCCTGGATAGGTGGGCGTTCGAATTGGCTGTTTGGGAGAGGGTGGTCTTCGTCTCCCCTAACTTCTTCCTCAGATTCTCACACTCCATCGCCTCAATGTCAAACTTGTTCTTCAGGGCAGCTGCAAACAAACAAGGATACCTCACTTTCAAAAAAAAAAATTAACGCCCTGAGCCATCAAAACATGCACTTTGTGCGGCTCATACTCCCTATTTTTGCCCACTTAGATTCTTTATTCATTGGTCTGATTTGCCCAATGGATTTAGCGTAATCATAAACTATATTATCCTATCACGAAGCAGTGCTGAAAAAAGTTGTACTTTTACTAACAACTGCTTAGGAAAAACTGGACAATTATCTGGGAGCTTTTTACCACTGGTCTTTTAAATGTGTTGCCAAAATCAAATGAAATATTTGAAAAGCGAGACGGATCTGTGCGCTCAATGATTGTTCATTCAGACAACTCCAGATGAAATAGGTTATTGTGATGTCACTGCTTGAAAACAAATAACATTGTTCTGTGTTATATTACTCACTGTTGTCTTTCTCCAAGTCCAGCACTCTGGAATTGAGCACATCATTCTCACTCTGCAACACATCCGCCTGGCCCATCACATTCCTCAAGTTCACCGTGGTGCCCTGGAACTGCACAAAGTCTCCACTCACAGACGCCGAGGAGCCAGCGGATGGGGAGGCATGGTCACTTTTGTACTCTGAGGTGTTACCTGAAGAAACAATTCGCTAAACCACTTTCTTCAGTTAAACAACAACCCGGCCTAACCAGTGGGCTAATTATTTGAGCTTAACTTAACTAAGCTATGGGTTACTTACAACACCTGACATTTCAAATTGTAGCGCAATAGCAACTTCAAACCCAACCATATGACTACAAAGAAAGTCTTGAATGCTTGACAATTTTTTGATAAAAATTAGTTCAATTTGAGAAAACTGAATCAATAGATAAAAAAATTTACAGTTTTGCTGTTCGATGGCGGAGTTTGCCTTTGAACAAAAGAAAATGAACTGAACTGAAAAAGTAATCCAATCGCGAACAACTTGGTACAATACCCTGAAAAAAATCACACGGCCTAAATGAGTGCGTTCACTTCGTTCACTGGAAATTATAAAAACATAGCCAATCGATAACTGGAAAAGAATAACCAACGCAAGTAAACATAAAAAACAAAGACAATCGAAGATTGGAAAAGAGTAATGAACGCAAGTAAACATAAAAAAAACACTGACTTTGTTGAAAAAATATTTAATACTTTTTAATTTGTGACATGCTAAGTTAGTGTCCTTGCCTTTATTTTATTACATTCCAAATTGTTATATACAAAATTGAGTTCCGCTGGGAAATCGGAAAATTAAACTCCACTTTCGAAATTAGAAATCGTCTTCTTCTAGAAATTAGAAATCGAACAGCAAAACTGATAGATGCCCTTTGAACTCTAAGAAATTCTAGAACAAATTATGACTGGAGCTTTTTTGATAACATGAACCCAACTTGAAAAAAAAGGAGTTTTTATTCCGCTGGAAGTCTAAAAATTAAATTCCACTTTCGCGCCATTTCCACGTTCGTATTTGGTCAGTGCTATTTACGTAATTTTCAGCAGATCAATTTCATTTGAACTCAAAAAGTGCGTATATACCCAAATGTATGAATGCACATCTGTAATTATTAGAGACTTTTAAGACTTTTCCTGAAAAAAAAAAAAAAAATCAGCAAGACCTATATTAGAGTCGTCACTACGTTCACTACTCTTAATCAGTTTTTGTTATTTCTTACCAAGTGGATTGTCGGTGTAATACTTGAACGCGTAGCTCGCTCCTTCTTCCACTTTCTCGTCAGTCAAGTCCTGGTAGTTGACCATGTCCAATTTAGCCACCTTACCAACCAAGTACTTCAGCTGGGCCTTGCTCAGACCCAATCCCAGAGCATCCAGACACTCTTCCAGATCTCTCTGTTTAATATATCCAGAGAAGGATCGATCGAAGAATGAGAAAGCCAGAAGTAACTGTGGGTAGACAGTTTTGGACACCATTTTCTTTTTAACAACTACACTTATGTCCTCTTCCTTTACTTTATCATCACTCTCCTTTTTCACAGACTCCTCCTTCTCCTTTTTGGATCCCGAAATCTTCTTGTTCTCGACTTTGTCGCCATCGTCAACTGCAGTGGCTTCCGCATCACTCTTCAGTCGCTTGTTGCTTGGAGGCCCAGTATTGTCAATTTCGTCGTCTTTTTCTTTGTCCTCTTCTGATTTCGCCACTGTGTCCTCATTTTTCTCTTCGCCATTTTCTGCTTTCACTTCCGCGGCAGTGTCCTGAGAATGAAATTCTCGATTAACTGTTTGTCCTCTTTAGTATTAATACACAATTCATATTTGCTTCGAATAGAATTAATTGAATCCTACAAATTAACACATTGTGGAGAATAGACTATTGAGCAGTGTATAAATTCAGGCCACTAAAGTATTTATTCATAACTCGAATATCATAGTGTTTGTCCGTTTTTTAAGATTGTCTGTCTATTCTCAGTTAATTTGGTTTCTACAACTGCTAGCTAATTTGAATGAATCTTTTCAGTGTCCACTAACCATAGACTCTTCAATGTCGCCGTCCGCTTCCTCTTTTTCTTTCTCTTCCTTTTCTGCTTTTTCGCCTTCTTCTTTAGCCTTCCTCTCCGCCTCGATTCTTTCCTCTTCCTCTTTCTTCAGTCTAGCTTCCTGAAACATAACCAAATATTTGCTCAGGTCATCAAAAATAACGATTTATGTTAACGAGCGCAATATTTCTCTTTAAAGTTTCGATATCTTCAAGCTCTAACTTTCTGCATAAACAGGATAGCAAAAAATAGCAACATAACCAACCGTATGTCAGCAATGGCAGTAGTAAAAATTGACATTTAGAGTTGAAGAAAAAATACATTACGTTTAAGCTCTTGCAATTTTAAGAGTCATTCATGACTGAAAACTAATACAATTAGAAAACACTGGGTCAAACGATATTTTCTTATTCAATTAAGCTCCACTTTCAAAACTTAAGTCAATGAAGTTGAGCGTTCAATATTTGAATTGAAAAAAGTCAAACTTCAAAAAAAAATCAAATTGAAGCGTGAACAAGTTTAATAAGTTTTTCCTGAAACCAAAAAAAGCACACGACCTAAAAAAGCGACTTCACTTTGTTAGCTGACACTTAACCAGGCTAGCTAAAGGTTAATGAACTTAGACACGTGTTCCCACTTAATTCTCTGAAACATCAGGTATATTCAGCAGACAAGGTTAACAAACTCAAGGAAGCCAAAATGAAGCACTTATTATAAAGTTCAAATGGCTGTTCAAAACTTAGACAAAAACTGTTTTGAAAAGATAACGAAGAGTTTCAATGAACACAATGAAACAGAAAAGAAAAACTGACTTGTGGGTTGAGAAAACTTCAACTGTCAAATTTCGAAGCAAAAAAAGAGATGGCCTTACAGCTCTTTGAATTTCCAGATCAATTTATGATTTACACAGAGGCAAACTGCGCTTCGCGAACACAAGCGAGAAAGCTGCAAAGATACCGGAACTTTAAAATGCACAAAAACTCAATTTTGTATATGACAATTTGGAATGTAATAAAATAAAGGCAAGGACACTAACTTTGCATGTCACAAATTAAAATGTATTAAACTAAATTGAGTATAAATTATGCATTTCGAATAGCTCGCAAAGTATATCGAGTTGGAAAATTTCCGAAATAGGGTTTTTATTATTATACTATTGTATGAAACAAATAGCTTTTCCGGTTCAATTGAGTAATTCAAAAAGCATTAATTGTGTTAAGTTAGTACTAATCAGATGTCAAAGCGCATGTTAATGTACTGGTAAGGCAGCATACAAACTCAAAAGTGCCACCAAAAGTAAGCACTTTTATTTGCGACTTAAGTTGGTTAAAAAGTTGCATCGTACTATCACACTATGCTACGCTCGTGTAATTAGGCTTTTTTTGACGAAACAAATCAAATTTGAGAAAACTGTTCCATAAGTAAAATTGCTATTTCGCAGGGAAATCTGAAGATTAAATTCCACTTTCGTAAATAGACATCAATCACGTTTTTCGCGACCTGTACACTTTTGCTGCTCGATAGTGAATTTGCCTTCCTTTTTTTTTTACAAATGAAATGAACTGAGTTTAAATGAATTCAAAAGTCAAACCGCTAAAAAGTGAACTTGAGCCTGTACAAATTTTAAGACTTTTCCTGAAAAAAATCACGACTTGTATAAAAATCTGAACTACGTTCAACGGCTCTAAAGTAACAGGATGGTTAATTGAGGCATGACTATTCGACCGAATCTAGATTTGACTAATTAATTAGCTTCATACAGTTTCATTTCTTTATTTAAGTCGAATAGCATGTATAAAAAAAATTTGACTTCAATTTTCACTACTTTGGGCGCTTTTCCGATTCTAGACTCGCTTTTGACATCACAAAATTTTCATAAGTTTTTGAGATTGGTAGAAAACATAACAAACAGACATTTTGAAAACATAACCAACAGACAGTTAGAAAAGAGTCAATGAACGCAAGGAAACAAAAAAACATATATCCCTTAGAACTATTTCAAAGTAAAAAACATATGGCCGCAAAGCTACTTGAACTTCAAGAACATTTTATGACTGACAATTATGATTGATAGAAATAACCTAATTTAAGAAAACTGGATCAATGAGCAACTCTTTGATTTCAAATCATATCGTTCACATTTTTTCCGCCATTTCCATTTTCGTAATTGAAGAGCAAAATCCACCTGATGAATTTGAATTGAATTCAAGAAACGCACATATACCTAAGTGCATTCATAAATGCATTAAAATTTATGTATGAATTCACTTCTGTAGTAGTTCTTCTAAAAAATTTTCCTGAATTGACTCTGATGGACTCTTAAAAAGAGAATGGATGGATACAAGGAAAACGAAAAAAAAAATTTTCTGAAGGTTTTCAACTTTCAAAGTAAAATTTCTGAACACTCACAGAAAAATCTTACAGCTATTTCATTTTTGTGTTTGACACATTCTGATAAAAAACTAACCCAATTTGATAAATTGGATCAACATGCAACTTTTCCAGTCGGTAAAACATTAAAACTTAATCGATTGTTGAAACAGGAAATAATTCACACATTTTTTTGGGGAGTGTATTTTTTATTCTCGTCGGCAAACGATAATAAACATACAATTTAAATAATAAAAACAGAGGCGAAGCTGTGCTTCGCAAACACAAGCGAGGAAAATGCAAAAGAGCTCAAAACAGGCAAAACAAACTAAATAAGGAGAAGATTAAAAAACACCTTGAAAAAAGTTAGTTGAGATTAGGAGATTACGTTCTCACAACTGCTCCCCAACTCTTGTACTTTTACTAATACTAGCCACCACTAAAGCAGCTACAGTTTCTATCAAATTGCCAATGTTATGCAGCACAAATTCGACTAAAAAAGAATTGAAACGGTCGCTTGGAAGTAAACTAGTGGCCCAGCTAATGCTGGATCCACCTGTTCTAATACCTTTATTCATATATTGTACTGATACGGAAATGCATCATTTTCAAAATTTTAAAACAATGGACTTTACAGGAGAAACTACTACTCGCTCTTTTAATTGATGTCTTCATCTCAGATTTTGCTGGGTAGCTTTCGAAAAAAAGTGACAAAAGATTCCAAAAATTGATCAAAAATTTGACGTTTACTAAATTCATAAACTTTTCTCTACTAAAGCATTGGAATAGCCTCTGCTTTCCACACCGTGATTTTTAGATTGAAGGAACAAATTTTAAGAGTTTTTCCTGAAAAAACAACAAACAAATCACCAATACCTATATAAGAGTACCCACTACGTTAATTACTCAAAATCAAAGTGGAAACAAAATTTAGACTTTTTGCAGAAAAAAAAAGAAATCGACCTAATAAAGTAATTTTTAATCCGTTCATGAATCCTTTTTAAGAAAAAAAAAGGCAACCACCTCCTGCTTGCGTGCCCTTTCAGCAGCCTCTTTGACCTCCTGCTCCTTCCTGGCGATCTCCGCCTTCTTCTTGATCACTTCTGGATCGGGTGCATGTTCCAGAGCCCTGTAGATTTCGTAACAAAAGTCACGCTGCAACATCTCATACAGACACTCCGCGAACACCTCCAGCTAAAACCAAACAAGACCAACTTGTAAATACCCAAAACCAAGTTATTTTATAACCCTTCAACTAATTATCTAGCCAAAATCGGTGGGAAAAATGGGATTCATAATCAGCAAAATGGCGAATATAAAATCTCAAAATCCAACTTAAACGGAAACAACATATTTCATATATCTACAGAGAGGCGTTGCTGCAATTCGCAAACAGGGAAGAACAAAAAAGGCAAAAAAAGTGCAAAAACATAAGCTGTGAAAATTAAACTTTTGCTATGCACCGGAATCGAGTCTCTGAATAGATGAAAACTTCTTATTCCGATGTAATCAAGTTTTGCAAACTTTTAGTCTTGCTTCTCACAGCGATCAGAACATATACCTCAACTTGAATATATTAATATGGACAAAAACATCCACTTAAAACATGAGAAAAAATAATTGAGCAATGGCAAAAAATGAAAGAAAAGACAGAAGTATGCCTTTAAAGAAGTTCAACTTGAAAAAGTAATAGGCACGGAACAATATAATTGATTGCAGAAGTAGCGCTTACGCGTTGAGCATTATGGGTAAATCCAGAACTCGGCATTTAGTTAACAAAAACTTGAAGATTTTTAAAAAAATTCCATTTGAGCTGAGAGCGTCAATGTCTTCAAAACTTTTATGAAAAGGCACTCGCAAGCTTGCTTGAGTGATCATACAACAATTTTCGTTGCGTTTCATACAATCTTTAATTGAAATTTAATCAATATTCAACATTTAAATTTCAGAGAAAAATAAATCACGTTAGAGCGTTCTACTTGCCTTTTAACTTCAAGTGCTAGAGCCGTTTTAACGTAAGAGCCATTCAATAGTAAAATTTTCTTTTCGAAATTAACTTAATAAATCAAAAGCCAAATTTTCCCTCCTCGCGAATTGATTTGTCTTGCCCTCCGCATTGAACTTAATAATTGGATCAATAGCTAAATTTTTTATTTGCCTTCCTTTCGAATTGATTTTGCCTTACTTTCAAATGGAACTTTGAATAAATCAAGTCAAACTCCAAAAATTTGTATTTTAACTGCAACAACTAACTGCTTACGGAAATTACGCACAAAAAATCAACACATATTAGTGTTATGATTGCGTTCATTCACACTTGAAACCATAAAAATTTACCCTTATTTGTTGACCTCAAATAAGTCTATCATTTTGTGATTCTCCCAATTTCCAACAATCTTATCTACTAGCAAATTTTACACTGTTTTTTCACAATGCTAACCGTGAAGGCGTCCTCCTTAGACTCTGCGTAGACCTTGTCCAGTAGGGAGCTGTATGATACACTCTTCAATTTGGCGCCTCCCGACTCCTTGTCGCTCTCTCCTTCGACACCTGTCGTCTTTGGGGGATGCACTATCAGATGGGGCTTCTCCGGCAGCTGGTACATCTTCCTGATCTGCTCCTGTTTGTGTTTCCTCTCTCGCTCTTTTCGCTCCTCTTCCTCCTTTTCTTTTCTTTCCTGCAAACAGCGCCGAAATTTCACACTCTTTAGCCATACTTAAATTAAGTGCATAGAAAACTTTCAAGCAAACGATTCGACCAGAATGAGACTCTGTTCAAACAATTTTTGGCGTGTAATAAGTTTCTGTACCAGGAATTCATTTTACAGGAAAAATATTATGTCCCTAAAAGCAAAGTGAAGCAGAGTGCTCAAACTGTGGACAATAAGGAAATTCAAAAAAATCATTTTTGAAATAAGAAGGCATTCACATTTTCCGAGACTGTTTCACTTTTTCTGATCGATAGTGGAGTTTGTCGTTCTTTTAACAAAGATCAGAATTCAAACCATGATAAATCAAATTAGAACGTGAACAAATTTTTAACTGAAAAAAAATCAAGCTATATCACTTCGTTATTTTACACTTAATACACAGAGGCGAAGCTGAGCTTCGCACCACTTGCGATACAAATATGAATACAGAAGAGAAGCTGCGCTAGGCTCTTTTCCAGTGTTCCCTTTGATTTTTTCTGAAATTCAAAATATGAGTCTTTATAAAAAATTACTTTTCTTGTTATAAACTGCATCAAAACGTGTCAGCGTGAACAGGTGAAAAACTTTTAAAACATTTCTTAAATGCAAAATGCCGAGTGAACAAATTTTAAACAGCTTCATTTTGTAATTTTACGAGGGAGTGGGAAACTGGAAAAGAACCCTGCGCTCCGCAAACACTAGAGAGAACACGACAAAAAGCAACTCTATAAAGTGCAAAAGAAAAAAGTACAAATAAGCCTCGAATCAGTAAAAATTCGAATACGTCTGATTCGAATCAACGACCTAGAGATTATGATTTTCACGAACTAACCATTCAGCCACGGCCGCTTAATCAATGACCAACACTAGCCACAAACTAAGCCGAGAACAGATGATATGCAATTTCCAATGCTGAAGTGAAACTTCTATACAAGTGAACACTTTCAATGAACACTTTTATTTGCGAGTTAGGTTTAAAAAAAGAAGGTTCGTACAAACACACTACCTAAGGCTCGCAAGCTCGCTAGTGTGATGGTTACGATTAAAATCAAACGGAAAAAACTGAAAAAAAAATCAAGAAAAAAACGTTTATGTCAATAAAAAAATGCAACAAAGCCCAAAATATTGGACAAATTGCACAGCTTTCGGAATGATAGAAAGAAAACAAATTTTCAAAAACAAATCATTTCTGCGGAACTAAGTCGATAAAAATAAGCAGACCGACAAGAATCTAAATTAGCCGAAAATTTTCTATTTGCAAAAAAAACAGGTCTCGAGTGGAATCGAACTCGCGGGCTTTGTCGTCTCAACCATAGGGGGTTACAGAAATTCGGAAGAAAGCTGAATCTTCAAAAAGTCAGGCTACGGGAAGTAAGCCGACAAAAATAAACAGACGGAAAACAGCCCAAAAACTCTAGTATGCGACAAAAAAACAGGTCTTAGCGTCTCAAGCAGTTGTCTCACCTTTACGCCAGATACTCCGGATGGCTAATTGTATTTGAATTGATAATTACCACTAGGCTGATATACTTAAGTCGAAACTTTTAAAGCCGATAAAAAAATTTAAAAATTTGACAAATTGAGTTGGGAAAGTTACAATCATTGTAAAAAACAAATTACCATTCGGCCAGATTGTTAAATGCTAAAACAAAGCGACTACAAAGAAAATTGATTATAGCAAAAAAAAAGATTCTTAGATGTGGTAACTAATGTGGTAACATATAATGGGCCGAAATTTTTTTTTGAACCAGAATATTTACCATTTGAAAAAAAAACAGGTCCTAGTCAGATTCGAACCCAAAAAATTTGCCGTCTCAATACCTTTGCCGTGAATGAGACACTTAGAAATTTGAATTCATCATGAAGCAAGGTTCCACGAGTCCAGATGAGTCCTGTGAACAAATTTATTTACGGGAAAAAAGTCTAGTACCCGATTGCAAAACCCTTGCTTATCGCAAGGGTAACTAGGCACTACAGAAGCTTTAAAATTATCTTGATTAACAACTACATGCCATGCGATCACAACATCATGACACGTTGGTAGCAGACCAGTGATTCCGGTGAAAGAGCTTTCGAAAAAGGGCCTATTACCGTAATACATCGCCCATAGCAAACCGTGCACTTTATCTTACCTTTTCCAGTCGGTCCGCTTCCTTCTTGGCCCTCGCTCTCTCCGCCTCCTCTCTTTCCTTCCTCTCCTTCTCCTCTCTGATCTCATTGGCCAGTCTCTCAGCCTCCTCCTTCTGTCTATCCTCCTCTTCCTTCAGGAACTCAGACACTCCCTTCTCCTTCCCACCACTCTTATCACTATCCTTTTCTGCGTCTTCTTTACTGCCCCTCTTCTTCTCCAAGTCGGCGTCTTCTCCCTTTTCACTCACATCCAACATTTCTGTCTCGTCTGCTAAAAACAAATCGAATTCAATAGTCTTTAAACGTATATTACTTAAGCGAAGATAAATAAGCGAAGAGTTTTAGATAAGCTAAGAGTCCGCGCCGAAAAACGGAACCAAATTTTTCACGCAAATTTGTTTTTAAGAAAAGCCTACGTTGCAACTTTTAAGGCACAATACTCTTTATAAAGTTTTGATAGAACTCGGAAAATCATTTTCGTCGACCTTAAAAATGATCAACAAAACTTTCGATAAATATAATGCAATATTTTCAAGAAAATCCTTTAGCCGCCCCTGATTTAACGCCTAACTTACGTTGCAATGTCACTTCTTCATACGCAGTCGCATCTTCCATGTTTTGGTCGGACACATCCTGAATAGGAACTGCTTCCTCACTCTCAGCTCCTCCCGCTTTGATGACCTCATCCGAAGCTTTCGGCTCAATTGACGCTTCTTCTGATTGCACTTCCTGATCCATATTCTCCTCTCCATTCTCTTTTTCCGCTTCTGCTGGGGTCACTGTGGTATTGTTGGATGTCGCTTTTGGTTTGGACTCATCCTCGCCCGCAATTGCTTCTTCTAGACGCTGCACCAGAGCATTCTTTAGTCCTTTTGTGTCCAGACCTCGAGATGCCAACTCTGATTTCAACTCGGCAACCTTAACCAACAGTACTACTCAAACTTTAACTATTTTACAATCAACACATCAATATCTGTTATACACAGAGACGAAGTTGCACTTCGCATACACAAGCAAAAATATGACCGATAACACTACCGGGAAAAACTGAATGAGTAAAACTTTGAGTCTACAAAATTTCTTAAGTGACGCACGCCAAGTATGACGCATTAGCAGTACAAGTCAATTTGAAAACAAAAAAAACTTACCAATTAACATGACTCAATTTATATGCGAGTTAAGTTGGTGGACTATAATAAATTTGTTTCCAGTTGTGCAAAAATCCAGCAAAATAGATAATTTATCATTGAATGAGCACCAACTTGAGCAAGCGCAGAAGGTAATTCAACCTATAAAATTACCTATATATTCAGTCTATAAAATATATAGAATAAACAAGACTGCTCGTATCAGGGCGAAGGCCTGAATGTTGCGACTGCCTTTTAAGGCATATGAAGCAGTAATGACATGAAAAAATTAAATGTAAAAAAAAAGAAAATAAAATGCAAAAAATTTTGTTTAAAAAATTTGAGATTTTTTTGTGAAAATCATCCCCCCACACGCCAAGTACAAAGTGATAAATTTCGCTTCTAGTAACAAATAAATTATGGCAAATAAGCTTCCTTCAAGCAATTTGAAACGATTTCTATGACGGATTAAATCTCCGCTTACGCGTTAATAGCGCGAAATATATAGCGCGTTTATTGTCCCAGATTGGCAATTTTTAAACCCCCATATCTTTCCAAATTTAAGCTCAGGACAACAATACTCTTAAGAAATACGGAGCAGAAATATTCCGTTACTTTCGTTACGAAAGTCGGAACAATAATAGTCTGTGTTAAAATCATTAGCATTGGCAGTACTTAGTAGCTGGTTATTGATCAAAATGAACACATTTTATCGCAACAATATTTGCGACTTAGGTTGGAAAAAAAAGATAGTTCATACTATAACACAAGCATTGGTTGTGTAATCACAGTTGAGTGAACAAAAACTTCTGATTTAATGTGAAGGTTGAATTTCTGCTCGTCACTTACTTTCATGCTTGTGGGAGTCAGGGGAGTCTTTGTTCCGACATCGCCATCTTTTCCCTAGAAACAAGTTTCATACTCAGCGCGACATGAACAAATAACCGCATTAAGGATTAGTACAGCTAACCGAAATCAAAATAATTTTCACAAAGCTCAACATTGCACCTCAGTTGAACCTAAACCTATATAGCGTCAAATGTCCTCAAACACTTCGGACGCTATTGCATGTCACCTAAACCTAAAACTGTTTTGTTCGGTCAAGTAATCATCAAGAATAATGTTTAGATGCCTTTTGCGGAGATGTTTCATTTTGAGGAGTGGAATGTTCCACTTGGGATGCTGTTACATCATCGACAACTTCCGAATCTTCAGCGGAAGATTCCATAACTTTATCGAAAATCTTTTCTGCGGCCGAGTCTGCTTCGGTAGGCTGAACTGTCGCTGGCGGCGGCGGTGGTTCTAACTCAAGTGCTTTGCTTTCTCCGAACTGCTTGTACGTTTCCTTTATTTCTTCCCATTCGCTCTCGCTTGGCATTAGGTTCCAGATATCTGGCACGAAGATAACTCGGCGCTGTAGCGTGTCAGGTTCATCTTTTAACTTATCGCCAGGCTTGACAAAGAATAGTTCCGCAATTGTATACCTGTAGCAATAGGGCGTGTCATTATATCAATCGTACATTTAGCAACACAAGTAACAATAATAACATCAGTAACAAAAAATATTCGGGATCCGCCGAGCAAAATAAATACTTTCCTATGGTAGTAAATGTGGTATGGAATCACGATTGACATCTTGTGGCCTGGACCTCTTAATGCGTAATTTTGAGAGTAACTATTGAGAATCGGACTTAAAAACCAAATCAAAGCCTTGTCCTCCTATCAACAACGTCATTAGTTGCCAGTGAAAATTTCGAAGCTGCCTGAGTTATGTGACAGGCAAGTGGTTCAATTTCACTGAAAAGTGATTAGAACTGACAATCACCGGAAAATATTCTTGAGGTCTAACTAGTTTTCAGTTTGACGCTATTTGTTAATGAGGGACTCACCAATTCGCGCATCTCGACAAGTCGATGCCTGCCTTAGTCTTCGCCACTCTGATAGCCGTGTTGATCAGCACTGCCGGATTGCCCTTGGGATCTTCTCCGTCCACAGAGGGGGACCACTCTCCTCCCACGAGTTCCAAGTCTTTGTTGGCTGAAGACACGCAAACAACTCAACCGCAATCATACACTATTGAACAATTTACAGATGCAACACTTTGACAAAAAGTCAAAAATTTCCTCGCTCGTCAGCTCATAATCAACAAACTTAAAGGTGATGCGCTGATAGGCTAATTTATTTAGAATATTCAGAGATTTATGAAGTTTCATGCCTTGCCAAGAAAAAGTCAATTTGTTTAGCTTTCAAACTCACATTTCTGTCCCATTAAGAATGACACCACTTTAGTCATGTGTTGCATGTTGTCTGAGGAATTTCCCGACATCCTGCAGCAGTTAGCGTACAGATCATCCAAAGACTGGGATCCCATCAACATGACGGACACGAACACCTCTGAATTGCAGTCTTCGGGAATCTTTGCAACCTCGTTCATTCCACTAGGATTTTCCGCCGATGGATCCATAATGTGATATCGAACTAAATGTCCGAGTCCCATACTCTTTTTACCCATCGGGAATGTTTGCTGGTATGAGAACTTAAGATGCGCAAAATTAGAGGGGACTGAAATTCCTTCGAATCTTCGTCGCATTTCAGTGAAGTCAACACCATCGCTGAAAATTAAATGTAAATCGAAATCCCAATGATATCAATTCATCTAGGTCGAAGTGTCGTTTACATGAGACGCATATCCAAAAAACCAAAAATTGGAAAAGTGCGTCAATGAATTCAGAGAAACCAAAAAAAAACATCATTTTTGAGTCATTTTCGAACATTTCTCAATTTCAGAATCTTTGTGATTGATACTATTCAAAACTTGACTCAATTTGAGAAAACTTGACCAATACAAGCAACTTCATTATACCACTGGAAAACCTTAAATTTAAAATCCACTCTAAAAACTAAAGGTCATTCGCGTTTCTTCGCGCCGTTTCCACTTCTGTAATTGGGGAGCGTAATGAGCGTAACTGACGAACCAAATTTGAGCATGAACAACTATGCGGACGCGACCTAAATCAGTGTCTTCACCTTATTTATTGATTCTTGAAAAGGCCTCTAGCAATTATCATTTAAGTAGGCAGTCGATTAGTAACAAACGTTACTTACACGTTCAGAGCAAACCGAGGAGGCTTCACACTGTATCTCAAACTGACACGTTTGAAACTGTCGCCCGTAGTTCTTTCTCGCGAGCTTCGATCTCGATGACTTGATGAAACGCTACCGTCCCTGGACTTGACTGAATGATATCGACTAGTCGACTTCGCATCCGACCTACTCCGACTGCGTTTTCGTGACTGGTATCCACTACTGCGGACATACTCAACTGAAGGCTCTCGCTGAGGAGATCGAGATCTTGCTGCAGGTCTCGCCTGTCTTATAGACTTATCATAATCGTCTCGAGTTGATACCTTTTCCGTGGAATAATCCTTGCTACGTTTATCCTCACGATCGTATCGATAGCTTCTCGAATCAGCTGCTGCGCCACCTCGAATATTGCTTCTGGCGTCCTGGCGCCCACTGCTGAAATCGTAAGTGGCATCTCGTCTACCACCTCCAGAACTTCGGCTGTCGTAACCACTACTGCTCACATTTCGGTAAGAACTGCCCGAGTAGGCTGATGCGTAAATGATAAAATAAATTGATTTAATTATTTGCATCTTTAAGAATTAGATCCTATTATGCAATTACTCACATTTTTCGGGGGATACGTCATACCGAGAAGACCCTCCATACCGCGAACTCTTCGAGTAATCTGTAAATAATTAAACCTTCTGCTATTTGAGCCTGAACAAATTTCAAGACTTTTCCGTAAAAAAACAACAAAAAATAATCGCGACCTACATAAGAGCGAACAAAATAGGGGGCCTAGGAAATTAGACGAAAAGCAAATTAGGGGATGGTTCTCATGCTTGAAGGACCGAATGCTTGAAAAGTTTCAACCAATCAAAATCGCTAAGCGTTCCTATAGGCTAAATGCCTTTCTCACAAAATCGAAGTCAATATTAACAGAAAATGTTTTAAATCAGTGGAAAATAATCAAAAATATTACAAATTGCGGGCTACAACCGCAATACTATTCCGATAAACATCAAGATTTATTAGTTCAAGTTCATAAGAATTTTTCAGTCTTGAAAAGTCATCTGCTTATTATGTAATCGGTCAGTATTAACACTAATCGCCTGGATCTATTTTCTTACTTTGAGATTTTCACGATTTTCTTTGAGATTTTGAATACTCAATTCTGATTGGCTGAAAGTAAGCTTAAATAAATTTCAAGCATTCAGTCCTTCAAGCATGAGGGACGCCACCAATAAATTAGACGTGACCAACAAAAACGAATTTAGACGTCGATGCAAAATTACAAATATGGGAAATTAGACGTAACTGTATTGTTCGTGTCTGAAGTTTGTTTACCGACTACAATTAACTTTTGTTCAGCTTTCTTAAATGCACATCGACTTCTCACATGCCGCAATTTTCACATTCCGCATTTTTCACATGCCGCAACTGTATAATTTATGCAATTCAAAAATGTTTTATAATCTTGAAATTAAGATTTTATAAATCAATTGAGATAAATATTTTGATATGTAATGGGATCATATATTATTTTTGTAATTATGAAATTTGTTTTAAGCAATAAAATTTGTTAGCCCTTTGCTTTCCGTCTAAAATGCTAGTTTTGCAAAAACAATTTAACGTATAAATTCGTTTTTGTTGGTCACGTCTTATTTGCTTATCGTCTAATTTCCTAACCCCCACTATTTACGCTCTTCCAATAAACCAACATAACTTAAGCCGAAACCAATTTAGCCGAAAAAATCTTTTAACGCAAAAAGTCATACAAGATCCTAGAAGCTGTAAAAGAAGACATTTTAGATATGGTGTTCTAAAATGGTCAAGATAGCAGAGCCTTCAAGAGCTGTATGTGCGTGGTGCGGAAACATACCAGACTTAGTTGTGGAAAAAAAGAAACATTTTGATGGAGAAGACGTTTGCACAGCAGATAGGTGCGTTGATTTTCAAAAGCAGAAAACTTTCAGTGCGCAAAGAAAAATTAGATTACGCCCAGAGTCGAATACACGGGCTTTGTTTTAGTAGCCAAGCTTGAGCATTACGTTTGGGCTAAATGAGCCGGAAGAGTCATTGGAATTGAATTTAAGGCAGGGTGTCGACTGATTTACTTAACTTTGTTAAGAAAGTTGAAAATAACAAACTATGTTATGTTTTGATAACGCCTCCTAGTCGCAAGCATATAGATTGTCAAGAATATAAGCCAGAAACGACCACATACTTGAATCTCAAGCGGTATTCGTCAAATGCTTTGGTAGACAAACAACTAGCAACTCAAAATTGAATCACAATTATTTTCCCGAAACTTTCGGAATTTTATGCAGCATTACCTTGAATCGATATACAAAAAATTGCTCGAATCAAATGAAAACTAAAACGCTAACAAGCTAGAAACTAAGACCAAGCATACGCCATTCATTTCTACTCCCTCAGCACTTGCTAGAATATTTCATGTAAATGAAAGTAAAATGTAAGATAAGTGAAATAATGGAAAAAAAACTCAATCAAAAAAGCTCAAGAAATAGCATAGCAGCACAACACATAGCATGATAAAATAGCAGAAAAATCCGATTTAAAAATTGGAAATGTCCACAAAAGCTAGATTTACCGAAACTTTCATATCTTTGCAAAGAGAAACAAAAAAAACAAATCACACTATCGCAAAAATGATACAAACCCTGAAACTAACATTTACACAAAGGTGAAGTTGAACTTCGCAAAAAAGCAAGAAAACGGCAAAAATTAGCTCTAAGAGGATCAAACAATGAAAAAAACAAAAAATAAATCTAATGAGAATTCTGCTGTGCCATAAACCAGACACAAAAACATATTGTTGTGATGAAAATATGAAGTGAACTTTAAAGCAAACTAAAAGTCAAACCACAAAAATCAAAATTAAGCGTGAACAAATTTAAGACTTCCCAAAAAACAATCAGCAAGACTTGATTAACTACGTTCAAAACAATAGACGGACAAACATTAAACCAAAAAAAAAACAATTTCGATTTTTTTCCTCTCAAAGCCTTTTTCGTTTCAAGCAGGAACGTTTTCTCTACACCAAATAAGCTGGATAGCTTATTGATTTTGTATATACTATGAAGCAAGTTGAAGCACGTGTAATTTTCACGTGCAAAATTTTGTGAACAAAAATTGCTAAGTATAGCACCTGGTTTCAACACCCTTGCTTATCGCAGTGCTAAATATGAGTGCAAATCATTGGCACAGTTCAAACAGTTGCTTGCTAAACCAAAAACTTTTTAAAGAGTTTTTTCAGTTTTTGCTTGGTTTGTTGTGCGCAGATGGGCAACTTATTTCAAATAACTGGCGCAACTTACTTCAAATAAACTTCAGACACACTTCAAACAAAATAGTTGTGAAACCTCTGACTGAAAACTTATCAAAAACTTCCCGATTTCGAAAAAAATTTCAGCACTCCGAGTTTCTGGACATCGATTTTTCTTCTAAATCACACTTTCCCAATTAAAAATTAATTAATCAAAGTTATCTGAGCAAAATGTTACAAAAAAAAACAACCGACAGTTGGAAAAGTATCAATGAGCAAGGAAAACGAAAAAATGATACTTTTCACTTGTCGAATTTTGAAAAAAAATACATTAATTACCTTAAAGCTTTTTTCTGATGGAAATGTTCTTCATAAACTTGCGAAACTAGAGAAAACTGAGTCAGTGGGTAAATTTTATTTTACGCTTAAAATTCTGAAAATTCTATACCATAAGTGAAGCTAACTCATTCGCGTATTTTCGCACAATTCAATTTCTGTTAATCAGAGCGTATATTGCTTTCCCCTTAGCAGATGTATTGAATCTTGAAAGAAATCAAATTCAAACCGCCAAAAAAAATCAAATTTTTCAAATTATAAAGACTTTTTCCTAAAAACTCTTTCTTCGTTGACACTTCATAAATTGATTTAGCCTACAAGTTAAATCTAGCTCACAAAACACATAAAATACCGACTTGATAGGAAAAACCATAAGACTTGATAGGAAAAACCATAAGAACCATAAAATCACTGCAAACATTAACTCTCACTAAAATTACTACGAAATTTGAATAAAACTGGCGCCTTTTGAAAAATCCTGGCTTTCGTTTCCCTATTTTACTAAAACTCAAAATACTTTTTTTTTCAAATAATTACTATCTTTACGTACAACAACCAGTTTGGCACAGTTTGCTCAAGTCAACTCAATTTTATCAAAAACTAAAAGAGCACTTTAACGATGTCCATTTGAATACACAATTTTCATTTAGATTTCAATTTATTTAAAAAGTTATACTAGGCAAAGAAATATCGCACAGATGGAATTTCAATTTACATCTTGAAAATTCAATTCCCCTTTTGCAACAGTGATTATCTAGAAAAAAATTGGTTTTGTAAAGGACTTTTAGATTTAATATCTGATGAAAATGGGCATCACGATATTTTCATATTGAAAGCCATTTCGAATTCTGCGTCAAGATTAAGTGAGAAAAACATCGCAGGTCGTATATCTTGTACTTTCGAAAAGGAAACCATGCTGGATAAAATCAAAGAAATATAATCTTGGAAGAATAATTACCGGGCTGTGAGGATCTATAGTTCGAGGCAACAGAGCCTGAGCTTCTGCCAAGATGCTCAGTTGGTTGCTGGTGGTATCCACTTCCATTGCTGGATCTCTGCACATTTGAGGAAGCCCCTCTACTTCCAGCATACCCACTGCTACCACCGCCACTACCTGGATAAATTAAATTGGTTAGAGCAGTTCAAACAGGCGAAGCAGAGCTTCACACTACTTAAGATTAAAAAAAATGAATGAAGACCACTACTTTCAGGAGAACCGAAACATAGAAAAGCAAAAATAACGATTAAAACTCTAGCAACTGAATTACCTGCATCATTAGAAAAAATACAAACAGGCGAAGCAAAGCATTTTTTTCGACACCACAAAGCATTACTTGCGATACAACAAATACATAGACAACATTACAAACTAACCGAACAAAATATAAATTAAACCGTAGAAAGGCTGCAACAAAGCCGCCAATTCTTGAGCGGACACTCGTTGCCGAACAAAAAAATTTAACCGTATTTTTCGACTACAAAAAAGTTTAGTCCTCAAAAGATTTAGATGAAACCTTAATGCTCTCAAACTGTCCTTTCGATTGAAACCAGTATCTTAGATTTTTGAGGGCTGTTCTTGAGATGTCACGAAAGATGTCCGTATAGGATGAAAACTGAGGCAAAAAAAATAAAGTCGACCCTCGTCAAGCTGAAAACGAAACAGTAGACATCAAAAATCAATCTATGAATCTTTTAAGCTTTATTTTTACGACCCATCTCTCCTGAAACAGGCAAAATAATTAAGAATTTGCAATTAAAATTACGCACTATAAGTTGAACAGCGATACAATTAAAACTTCATTAAAAGATAATGAATGGAACAAAAAGAAAGCTTTTTGTTTCAAAAACTTAAGCTGAAAATTATATGAAAAAAAGTCCAAAAAGCTCCATCTACAAAAACTTACTACCTTTGTCTTGTACGATGTCCGTGAACAGCCTTAATAAGCATTATCGCAAGGGTAACTATTAGTTCAAGGCAAACCAATGCAATTTGAACAGCAGCCAGTGTAAAATTATTCAAAATAAATGGTGCAAACTTAGTCTTTCCCATTATAGCCCCCTTCTCTACAGTAGTATAATCACTGTGTAAGGGACTATAGTTTTTGTAGCAGGGCTGGTAGCGTCTTGAATGGCAAAGACACGCAAAAAATATTTCACATTAAAGCTTACTGATTTTCCGGGATCTTTTATATATATAAAAAACTATTTTGCAATTTTTTGTTAGAAAAAAACGGCCTAAATTAGTGGAAATTCATTCCGTTCCTACACACTTAAATATCAACTTAACTCAATTCCTTTTCAGTTAATGATTTAATTGACCTTTCCACTCATTGATGTTGGTTCGGAAAAATAACGAAGTTACCTGGTCCCAGTCCTTGCACACTAGTGGCATGCCACTTGAAAGGCAAGACGTCGTTGAACACTGCTTCCACCAGTACCTTATCATTCAGCTGGGGAACTTTCCCTTTCACAACACTAAACAACACACCATGTTATCTCAAGTAGGAAATTCAGCATATTCATAATAAAATGAAGTTTTTGGAGCTTACTCATCAAATCAGTGTAGCAATTAATAGAAAAAAACTGTCTATACATCCGAGAACAATTTTCGCACGTAAAATCCATACAATTTAGAAATTTTTTAAAAAAACTTCTGTTATCAATATTACTTAAACAGCTGAGCAACTGAATGCATAATTACGTGAATTGAAAAAAGACATCTTTATCGATGATGCCAAAAGAATCTTGCAGCTTCGTTACGTGGCCTGTAAAAACACGCGGAGCTGTACTTGTGTTGTAGGCTCCACTACTTCCGCCTTGTGATTGTGATGATCGATTATAATTCTGAGTTGAGCGCCCTCCACCATAGCTCTATAAATCCAATAAATTTTTTCAAGATAATCAGCAAGTTCATAGTTGAGTAATCATATAATTACACTAACGTTTCCGTAATTCGAAGTTTGATGATATCCACCTGAGCCCCCATAATTTGAATACTGGTTTGAGTTCCACATTTTTCTAGAATACGAAAAGCTTACTTTACATATAAGTGAAAAAATGCTTCGCACCAATAGCAAGCATAGCTAGTCAAAAATGACTATTAGAGCTGTTAACTAGCGAAAAGAGAATGAGGCGTCGCCACTTTGTCGAAAAAAAAACAATGTTTGATAGACAGGTGAAGCAGAATTATGCACCACTTGCGTTCCAGATAAATTGAGACGCCATCTCAAATCGAGACGCCATCTCATCTAGAACGACAGTTTCAGCTCGGAGGACCTTCGAATACGTAATCTAAAACTTCAGAGAAAAGTTGACCGTGATTGGAAGTCAGTCGAGACAGCGACTGAGGCGAATAACAATTGACTACATACGATAACATCCTCAACTAAATCGGCGAAAGACATTTGTGAATTTTTTGTTGTTGTTGTTGAGGATTTACAGCTAGCTGAAAGGTACATGGTCCCAGTTGATGTGAATGCAAAACCCACTAAGGACTATGATATACTGTACATCGGTAACAGTCGCCTACTTAAGTCACATATCAGGTTAAGAAAAATAGGCTTATAACCATTGGCTCAAGAGTCAGGGACACTATCTCTTGTGTTTTTCTACCTCAAGCGGTCGGATCCAATTCGGTTCACTTGCGACATGAGACTACAAACCGTGTTACAGCTTGAAAGCTACTACCAAAAAACCACCCCCCTCCCCCACTCTAGAAATAAGAACGCCCCCATGTTCAAGTCAAGTCAAGTTTTTATGACCATTAGGCAGTGCCTCTTGTGGTCATTACGAATGTTTTTTTTTCCTATCTCCGTTCGAATTCGTACATGTCAATTCCAATCGCTTTCCAATGTTTGTCCAGTTTCCACTTGAATTCGTCGATGGTCTTGCTTTGCACTGTTTCCTGTGGCAGATTGTTCCATGTAACATTCGCCCGGAAGATACATATCGACGGATAACAAAACTAAGTCTTAGGACGACTGGCTAGCGTCTAAACAGAGCTTTGCATGTTTTTCACCGTCTCTACCAAGCCAGTACTTTTCGGTGGTCTTTCTTACATCGGGTCGACAAAAACGTTACTGTTCTCCGGCTTCGACCAGAACGCTCAAATTAACTGAATTACATGCAAAAATAGTGAGCTCATGGCTAGGTCTCAGTATCCCCAGACCACGAGGTCACTCCTAAAAACAGGGCTACTATTTATTATATTACTATTGTTTTTGTTCAATAGATAAAAATCATCATCTCCATCGAAGATGGATCAACCCTTTCCCCCCAACTCTTAGCACCTCATCCTTGTCAAAACTAATCCAAATATCAATTAAATTCAAGTCAGGACATGACAGGATGCTAAAAGTTCATATGAGTCAATAAAAGTTTTCCGTCACGAGACCCTTCCGGATTCTTGAATCCGCTGAATCAAGCCCGTTGATCTTGATTTCTTCCTAATCCGGAAGGCTGGTTTCTTACCCTTCACCGTTGTTTGCAACGGCCTTGCAACTATTGTAGCAGCACAATAGTTGCAACTCGGAACGATCTCTGCAATCTGCTGCTGTTTTTCAATCACGATTCTCGTTGTTCTCGTCAGCGTAACTAACGTTGTTGTCTTTTTTCACTCGTTTTTTGTTAAAAAATGGCCGTTTCAGCATTTCTCAGAAATGTTACGTCATCACTTCGAAAATTTAAAATTTCAAAATAGCAGAATATCTTGACCTTCACCGTTCTACTAATCATCCGATTAACGTCGTTAATCCTTCAAAATCACTAACTCGGAAGGCTTGCTGCTAAAAATTCGAAGTCTGCACAAATTGCATTTTGGCCATTCTGGTCGAATGTCACATACTCCCCGGACAGTCCGGTCAATGTCCTCATTGAATCGCGCAATACTCGTAAAATGGTTACAGTGTCATCGAACAGAATTTACAAAATGCACGAAATTACTTTTATCCACGTCACATCGACTCACTGCAGAATATAAATGGCATCATACTACATCACTATAGCCTTCAAATTCTCTCATTAACCTGCACTCTGAGGATATGACTTAAGATAAAACATTTTTTCTGACTTCCAGTGTCAATGTCCCGATTAAAACTTCTTCTCTTATATTTAAAAGGTGTTGGCTTGCAGGACAGTCCTGCCAACCAACAAGCTAAAATTATCCTACTACGCTCCTTCCCTTCGGAAATCTTGCTTGTTTATTGTCCTGAATATTAAAACTAAGAAACTTTGTGGTTAGAAAGAACAATGCAACAACCTCCCTCTTCAGGAGATTACTCAAGCCTTCCACGTCACCACAAGGTGATCAATCTTCCTAAGTGATTAAAAACAATCATGCAGGCTGGAATATTTAAATATACTCTTCCCTTAAGCCTTTCTAAATAAATAATAAGTGTCTCTAAATCCACTTCTGTTAAAATCAAAATGCAAATTTATAAATGCAACAATTTCAAAACTCAACTAAATGTTTCAGTTTTCAATTGCAACTTGATTGCTTGGTTTCTCACTTGAGTTTTTCACACACACAAAACAATTCTGAGTTTTGACTTTCCTTCATCATCCCTTTGTTCTCTTCTTTTTTCGTCGTTTAGAAGTTCTAAAACTTCTAAATTCTTCTAATTTTCCTTCTTGCTGCCTCTTGTTTTCTCGACCATTCGTCAATGCTCCATTTCCTCCTCCTGTGACACTGACTCCGCACTTTCGGTTTCCGTGTCTTGTAGCACGTCATTGACTATCCTGACGCTGTTGGAAGCCGTCCTCCAACACTTCTGCTCTTCCACCCTCTGTTTACAGCAAGGTAGGGGATCCACGTTTGATTCTCTGTTTCTACAGAAGCTGTTGTGGAGACACAACGTCACGTTTCTCTCCAAATCTTCTTTCAGCATCTCTGCCTTCTCATTTCCACTACGCTCGCTCGTCCTGGAAATTCTTTTCACAGCGGTGGTCACTGCATTCCGATGAGTCACGAAAGCTCACTTGAAAGCTCCTGCCCCAATGTCCAGCTGATATTCACTGTACACTCTGCCATGTTTCGACATATGCTTTTTCGCATACTCGTACAACCATGCAGTCATGTTAGCTCTGAACCATGGCATCAATCGTTTTCTTGCCCATATCTTCTTCACTTCCATCGGAATGTTTAGAACTTCGCACATTGTCTCAAAAAGATCTAAATCTTTCAGACAATCTAATTTCCGCAATTGTTCTCTCGTTGGTGCCTCTTGTCTATTATTTTCTCTCACATGAGCTTCCAGCCATCGTATCGCCATCATAACTCCCACTATCACTATTGTTACGGGCTGTGATGAATCTGGTAAACCCATGGAGAGCAGCTCTCCAGAGTCCCAGATCAACATCAGATTACTACGCTTGGGATACCACCAGGTCTGCAGCAAGCAGTGGCAAGGAAACTCATCATGCGTCAACATGATGCTCCTCCAATTACGTTTTCCCGAAGCTTCCAGCAATGGCTCCACTTCCATCATCACTCGGTGGATTTCATCATTCTCATCTACTGCATTGTAATCTGTGACAGTTGATCCTCCCTGTTTCTGTTTTTCGAAGTCACTGAAGTTCCCGCTCACATATCCCATGAACTTCTTTCCTAGTATTGACTCCAACTCTTCTTTGGTTCTCTCTGGAATTGCTGAGAACATCTTACATAGTAACTCGTAAGACTTTTCAGACATCCTCGCTAATCTCACACACTTCGGCACTGAGAAGGCTTGATCCACAATCGTTCTTGTACTCTTTACGTCCACAGCTACGAAATGTACAGGATATCTGCTCTTGCACATTGGAGCCAACGTTGAGCCCACCAAATATCGTGCTCCTGATGGTCTACAATAAGTTTCGCTGTGTCTGATGTTCATCTCTGTTTCGATTGCTTCCCTCCATTTTCCTATATACTTCTGCTCAGTCTGCAGAACTCCTGGGAATACTTCTACGCTGATGGCTGTGACCATCTCATGTTTCTGTTCTAGATTCAATAGTGACTCTAAAGAACCAAACATGCTGTAGAATCCTAGTGCTGTCACTAGATTCACATCGGTTCCTCCATGGCAGTCTGCTATCAGTTCCGTTTCCGTTCTTGCTTTCATCACTACATTTCCAAAGAATACTGCCAACTGCTTGTGTTGTTTCTCCAGGGTTTTCACACAGTCTAGACTTCCACAAACGTGACCCTCTAGTCCACAGACTTCCACCAGACAGCTACCAGGTTTGACCCAGTCTTCTGGTCCCCAGCCAGGCAACTCCACTTTATCTTCTCCGTTGCTCTTAGAGGCTGTTATCATCACATTATATATATGATGTTGAGGTCACGCAGGTTACAGTCTGCATTCAGTTCCCTCTGTATGTCTTGTGTCGCCCGTAATATTGAGTCAGCGTTGGGACTAGGACACCATGATGGTCTCATCAATTCCCACACTGCCATCAAGCTCGTTCTCAGAAATTCATCTGAGAATCCCAACCCAAACTCCACTCTCTTGTCGGATTTTGGTACTGAAGGTGCAGTCACCTCTTCTTCCAAGACCAGTCCCAATTTGGCCTGTGAATTGTTGACGCTTTTAATTGTTACAATTCTGGACGTCCAGAATCTTCGTAACACCGCCTGCTCATAATCAAAGAAGCAATCACGTATGTCTTCACTCAGGAAAGGATTGTACGCTACCCCTAAGATCCCAGATACATAGCTATATGACTTCTTCTTGATCGGTCCACAGTATTCACTGGACTTCGGCAATGCTCCCATAGATTCTTTAGTGAGTCTCAGCTCCTTGTTTGAGAATCTTCTGATCTCATCTATCTTTTTCATCGGTTCCAATTCTTCAGGTTCTTTCATGTTCACCCTCATCGGTTTACTTTGCTGCATGTCCAGCAGTGCTAGCAAGAACAAGGCTTTCGTTCGCTCATCGCCTTCCCTCAACATTTTAACACAAGTGTTTAATGCAGGTACTGAAATCTGCTCTATCAGGAATCTAATGAAACAGAGAGCATCTCTCCGCTTCGCACACGCTA